ATCTGATAAAACAATTTATATATGAATTTCTTTTGGGGGTCTATTAATCAACGTCACATTCCATTACTTTCAATTCTGAATATCATAAAGAAGAAACTACTAGTATATAATTTCCTTCAAGAAAATTAGGCATACAAGTACACTAAATCCCTTGGTCTCGCCATTATTATCAATAAATTCCTAATCCGAGGTTGAAACTGTCACTTGTTCCGTTGATTAATGTCTCTCATGCGCCTGGCCTTCAGCAACAGAAATATTCATTGATAATCAATACGGGTTCCTATCCCCTGACATGAGAGAGGCTGACACTATCAATTAGATCCAGTTTGACTGTATTCAAATGCCACTCATAGCCTATCAATTGCATTCATGTCAGCTAAAAAAGGAATTGGTATTTGGTATGGAAAGTGTGTGTGTGTGTGTGTGTTTGTGTGTCACAGTGTACGTCTAAAATCATGGCTGGGCAATTTTACTCTTTTTTTTTTTTTTTGAAAAAATGAGAATGCGATGTGCTGCACAGACAGTATAAATTGAAATTAAGCGTAATTTTAGGCAATGGTCGTCTGGTTATCATTTTTGTTCTATTTTACAGTGCAGTTTTTCCCCACAGAAAAATTTTGAAAAATATTTATTTATTTTTTTTTTTTTTTTGGAAAATATTTTCAATATGTTAGTGTTTTCCTTTCTCTTAACAGAAGTCAATTCTTTTTCCTTTAGTCAGCAGCTAGTTGAGTACCAATCGTGGTAGGCCTACAATTAACTTTTTTTTTTTGTAGTATAAGACTTCAGCAGCTGTCCCTAAATATTTCTTTATCTATGGCCTTGTTTTGTAAAAAAAAAAAAAAAAAAAAAAAACTGCATACCCCAGCATTCATAGTAAAGAGACTTTATTTATTTATTTGTTTGTTTGTTTGATAGATTGTTGTTTGTTTGTTTGTTTGTATCAGAGAGAAGGTGAATAGAGGCTATATATCAAAGATATTTTGTGCCCACAGTTGAGTCTTTCCCCCCCTCCCCTTCCCCCCACTTCCTACATTTTAACTCTTATCAAAAAAGCACATAGGGTAATGATTCAATCCTTCCAATGGGTACAAATTTTTTTAATTTTCAGATGCATAATTTTATAATCGCAAAAAAATATATATACCTATATAGCATTATTTATATAATTTTACTGCACAGAACAGGAGTATAGAGTATCTTGCTTTTAATTTTGTTGTTACCACTCAATAGGAATGCTCTAATTTTAAGAAATTATGACTTGAAAAATACAGTCTCTGTAGAATTTACAATTTTCCCCCCATTGAAAAGATCGAGTAATTACTGTACAAGTAGCAGCTTGGGATTTTTTTTTTTTTTTTTTTTTTTTGGGGGGGGGGAATTGATAGAGGCAGGTCGACTAATTGGATTGGTTCACCTAAAGCCTTAAAAATGGAAGCATGAAAAGAAAAGAGAAAGCAGCAATTGGCAATTAAATGATTAATTGTTTTCAGGGGCAATTACCAAGATTTATTGCAACATTGTTCTGGTTTTAATTAATGTAGCTTGACGACACCCAAGTGCTATACACGATTCAAAGACGTAACAGAATGACTTTTGACTTGCCAACACAGGATATGACTATATACATTCCAATTTTACTGCAAATGTCATCACTGAGAAGCTTGGAGGAAGTAAGAATGCTGTGTATTACAAACTTCTTTTCATACAAATTGTTTTAGAATTCACGTCTAAGGCCCCATTCAGATCAAGAAGATCCGAGTGCTAGCTAGGCCACAACCTTAATATGGCGGACCTACATGAAAGAAAACCACTTAATCCTGTAATGGTCTCTCTGCCTCTCACATCTCTCCGCCTCTCATCCCTGCAGGGGCACAGTAATTAAATCTTGGCTCAATTCAACCGGTCCAGATTTGATGCATGGGGAGGCGTGCGAGAGGCAGAGAGACCATTACAGGATTAAGCGATCTTCCTTTCATGTAGGTCTACCATATTTAGGTCGTGGCCTAGCTAGCACTCGGCTCTCCTCGATCTGAATGGTCCCTAATATCAGATACTGGACACAGCAGTAGCACGGTAATAACTTACTGGGAGTCAGGAGAGGTAGTTTCACGGTGTCTTCTACAACTCGGGATGGTTTCGTTAAATATTATTTCGGACTGCTGTGTATAAAAAAAAACGTGTCACGTCTTCAGAGAATTACCAAGAAGATTATAACAATTAAACTGAGGTACACGCACTAACTGCCAATACCCAAACCTCACGACCCTAGGCCTAAAACGGCTATCCCCCCCCCCCCCCCCCCCCCCCCCACTAAACACACACGTACTAGTACTATATGTCACCACCACTAATCACCTGTCCCAATTTTACAAGACTAGCTGTTACTTTCATTAAAATAAAACATGTACGTTACTTGTTGCAAATCAACTTCACGCCTCCATCGTCTCCACCATACTCTCTGTTAATAACCGCAACAAAACGCGTCCTCGAGGTGAAGTACGTGTGTCCTGAATTTCGTTTGAAGACAATGCAGCTTGCCGCAGACTGGAGCAGAGAGATAAAACGCAACCCGCACCGACAGCGTGACCGGCTAGTTGGTGGCCCAGTTGACCGCTAGGTGTCGCAACAGAAACTTACTTCGCGGAGAGGATTTCCCTCCCGTTTCTATAAATAGAACCATCGCGGGGGCAGTTCAAAACTGTATACTGATCTTTTACTTTATTTGTCATTAATTTATCTATTTTTTCTTATATCTTCAAATGGTTGAAGACTTTTGAAAATGAAAGAATGTCTGTTCAAATATTGATTCCTTTGGCTTAAATATTTTCCATTATACCTATACAAATCCACAAGCACGTTTACCACAAATAAACAAATTTAAAAAATGATAACTAACTAGATTCATGAAATTTAAGACAAAACATTTATTCAGAATCAATCCATTAAAGTAACTGGTGACTTTAAGGAAAATGGTGTGAATAAAATATCAGCATGTATAAGTTTTATTATACAACCACTGGAACAAGGCACACTGTAGGAAATTTAAATACACAGTTCACACCAGTATAAGTACGTACCATATTTACTGAAAGTCATTTCAAGGATAATACGATAAAGTATAAAAATAATAAAAACACAAAACACATGTTATTAATATGATACAAATTCCTATGACACCAGCAGGTCAATGATTTTAATAACAACACACATTGATTAATTCAGACCAGGTCTGACGTTGGGGGGGGGGGGGGGGGAATCTTTTCCTAGAAAAGTGGCCATTTTACCAAGAGACCTTTGTGTTCAAAGATCAAATTTTTACCCAAAGCCGATTTTTCCAGGCAAACCCCCCCCCACTCCACCCTGGGCCTGCAGACTTGGGGGGGCTATTCCCTAGCAGGTATATTCAACCCAAAGCTGGGATAATTGACCGATGCCAAAGCGCTGGGATATTAATTTCTGAGGTCTTCAAAACAATATATTTACTAGTCAACATTGAGTTTTATCAGACCTTGAATTCCTGGATATAATATCATATTCTTTGTTAATTGTATAATTAAAATATATAGTTACTTTATCATTTATGTCAAAGATAATACATCATGCTCTTGTGTATGTTATCATCCTATCACACATTAAATAAATAAATAAATAAATAAATAAATAAATAAATAAATAATGAATTGAAAACAGAGTGGCCTTCAAATCTCCACCAGTGTGCAATTTAAAATATATAAATATACATCTAAAATATTTCATATTCTAAAACATATAAAATATATCTCATATAGAAATTACTCAGCAGCATTAATAAGCTTCATGTAAGGCACATGGTTATTTCACACAACATAAATAAAAAAAATTCTCCAAAAACAAAGTTTTGTTAATTTTACTTGAAAATGTCATTCAGCAGTTATGAAATATTAGCTGACTTTAAAAGAAACTGGTGTGAGTGTCTAGAAAAAAATTAATCCTGAAAAATAAAATATCAGAAAAAATATAGCCTTTTGAAATATTCAAATAATAACCGCAGTACCCTACAGTGAATCCAAGTTACAAGTTTTGCACTACATCTAGTAAGATAATCTGGCTAATAAAGCGGATAATCTGCATAGCAGAAAATGCCAGCAAAAATAAATCAATAAAAATAAATAAGCTAAAAGAATAATTATAATAAAAAAAACAGCATAGCACTCTATCACAGAAATCTGTTCTCTGGAATATTTCAAGTTTTACATACAATAGGCCAAGACATAACATAATACAACTTAACATGAACCATGACATGATTTTCTCAATCATTTTAGTTTAAAAACCTCACACTAGATGACAGCACCTGGTGGCGCATCACACAAGGCACCAGAGCAAAATATGTGTCCACCGTTTTTCATCATTTTTCACCCCCTTTTTTTTCAAAATATATTTTCCTCATTAATAAGTATCAATGCATTTCAAATAATAAGTATCAATGCCGCACAAAAATGTGAACCAAAGAAGAAAATTTTGAAAGTGTCATTACAAACAAAGTCCCTAGACAATGTTTCAGAGACAATTAAGTTCTAGAAATCTTGTGCCATTACTTCGAAATGACTTAGTTTCCAGTCTAAAAAAATTATAGGCTACTTGACTTTCTATTTTAATAAGTAAAATAAGTAAAATCCATATCACCAAAGGTGAATTCTATCTCTATGTCTGAGCTGATTTATGGCACATTTGGTAGAAAAATCTAAAAAAGTTTCATAAAACTAATTCTAGCTAAATCTATTTCTCCGTGGCTTTTAACTACTAATACTATGATGTTCAGATAAGGCAATAACATTGGAATACCAATGAAAGTAGAAAGAAACATTTCTGTAAAATCTTGGCAAGTGAACATAACACAATACAAACAAGTTAAGTGGTCTTCTTAATGTGTCTGCAGTCATCACAGAATATTAAATATTTTTACAGTCATTTCACTGCATCCCTGACAACTACAATACATACACCAGTACCCCCCCCCCCCCCACCCTCCCCTCCTCATCATGGCCTCATGCTCACAATTAATTCCCATTTCATTTAAGCCAAGGGCGGCTTAGATTGCAGGTGCCCTGCAAAAGTGGGTGGTACATTGTGGAACATGGGCGTTTCTGTAGGCTGAACAGTAAAGGGAGTAGTTGAAGTGGCCCCTGTGGATGGCAGTGGGGGTGGCGGATACTGATCTGTGGGCAGCTGAGGGCTCATTGCCTCGCTGTATGCTGGTGGCGGGGGATAGTTCACAGGAGGCATGACATTGTTGGCAAAAGGCGGTGGCCCGTAAGAAGATGGCGGCGGATACCCCGACCCAGGTGCAGGCATGTGCCCATAAGAAGATGGCGGTGGATACTCCGGCCCAGGTGTGTACATGTACCCATTGGAAATTGGCTGGAGAGGGGGCTGCATCGTTTGGGGGATGGATTGTGGCATCGTTGCTTGAGGACTGGTGTAGGAGGGGTTTGTCACTCCATTGTCATGAGGCCTGTCAGTGTTGGAATCGTTGGTCAGGCCTTCCCTTGATCTTGCTCGTTTTTTCTTCAATTGACTGTAGTGGATGACACCACCCACCACACCAGCGATGGCCAGTAATACAACCACCGCAACAACACCATAAATCCAACCTAGAAGGAAAAAGATCATTTTTGAAGTGTGACATGTGAAGTTTAAGTTGAACAGATAGACTTTAAAGTGCCAATAAAGATACACTGGTATGTACATAGAAATATATTGTCATTTCCATTAATATAGTTCTAAATCATCTCAATATTAATGCATGAAACCATCTTATCAATACACTGCACAAAAAAGAGAAAAATTATTCTTCTTGAGAATAATGAGAATAATTCTATTATAATATTAAGTTTCTCTTACCATTATCAACACCACCACTTCCACCTGCACCTGCAGCAATTAGAAATAAACAAATGAAAGAACAAACAAACAAACTACCCCAAAGTCAAATATTCTGTCATCATATCGTGCAAAACTATGTACTGAACTTTCCCAACCCAGACCTAAAACCTTTCAAATAAATGTACTTGATGTCAATGTTTCTGTCTGAAATGCACAAGGAAGTATAAACAACTGAGCAGCCATTTAGAACTTATAAATTATTTGACCAGAATCATGTTATGAAACTATAAATCAAAGTTCCAAGATGAGTCAAGTATTGATTCGCAAATACAAGAAAATTGTATTTTATTCTGGGAAAAATTCAATTTGGTTTGAAAATTGCAGATAAAATATGATGCCTTGAACATCAGGCTAAATTAATCTTATTTTAATAAGATAAATTTAATACCAAAATAACCAGCTTTTAGATGACCAACCAATAACATGTGCCCTGCCTAGTCAGATGTATGAAATGATTCTTAAAATTATTCTTACCTGCTTTGGCAGTATACTTCAGCTTAAAGCCAGTGAATCCGCTGACAGTGTTTTCATCTATGTAGAACATTATCATAGATGTATTTTGGGTTGTTGTCACCGAGGACGGAGTGCTGCTTCCACACGACGTCTGCAGCAGTGAGTATGACCCGTCTCCCGTTGGTATACCATCATATATCTTAAAGATGAAATCAAAATTATACATATTTTTTCTTTTTTTTATTATTAATTATTATTATTTATTATTTATTTTTTTTAATTTTTTTTTTAATTTAGATTTTTTTCTCTAACTTTAGACTATACTGCACTAGGAAGGTGACAGGTGATAAAAAAGATTGTGATATACTGATAGAATTGATAGCACAACTGTAGCACCATGATGTCACTATAAAATTGAAAATTTCATTACCAAAATATATAAGAATGTCCAATTCGAAACACTGAGCCAAAGTGTCACTTTTTTATCCCTTTTGTGATTTGGGGATTAAACAGACATGTACTCTTCACATCTGAACATTTCACATCTTCCTGTTCCAACACCTCTTGTTCAATCAAAATTTTACCTTCACGTAGTCCAGAGCACAGCTATTACGCATTGGTAAGTCCATTGCCTCAAATTCAAACTTGATGGTGCTGTCCTCATCTGCTTCAATGATCCACCACCAATCGTAGGTTCCAATATGGCTGCTTCCATAGTCCTGTGACTGCAGGTTGTATGAGGTGTCCGCTACCAGGTTGGTTGAATGGCTGACTCCACCTGAAAGTTAATTCCAGGTTAAGGTACCTACAGATTGTTACTTCTGGATTGCAAATCTCAAAACTAAAAAAATTGAAGGTTGATAAAAGTCAATCATTTCTAATAGACTAGTACTAAATGTGTTTTTCAACCAATGAGGCATGAGGTTTCATACAAGGCATATATGGTATAATGTTATGCCTCCAGGCCCGTAGCCAGCAATTTCAAAAGGGGGGGTTCTTTCTCTGAAAAAGTGAACCTTTTTCCATAAAAACTTCATGTACCTAGATCAAATTTTACCCAGAGTGGACCTTTTCCCAGCAAAAGGGGCAGTTCTTTCAAACCACCCGAACCACCCCCTGGCTACATGCCTGATTATGTTATACCTCACAGGTTGACAAACACGTTTAGCCTTATTAGAAACATAACTACACAAGTTCTAACATTTCTACATTGAAAGTCAATTTAAACTTTATGGGTGAAAATTTGATATTTTCCAATTAATTTAGGAAAATCCACAGAGGGTCAATTCTTTCACTGCATGGGCAACTTCTACCCGTTGAATGTCTTTATTTACCTTTAGTTGTTGAAAAGACATTTGTTCCCTTCCAGAAGAGTTCAAATCCTATGTCAGAGACACTGCTGTCAGAGTGGAAATAAACACTGGCTATCTGCTTGTAAACTGTCCATGAATAACTGCTATATGTGCTATGACGGATATTGTCAACCTAAATAATAATAAAAATAATAACTATAATAATAAGTTCTTGAAAATGAGTCCCGTGTGTACCTTAGCTACATGTACAATGTAAAGGGCTTCTATAAACAACTATAATTCTAATAAAAATTCTGAAGACAAAGCTGATGTATTGTAATAATATATATTAGAAGGTTAAAAATGCTGGCCCAAAATATTTTGCCCTACTGCATGTTTACCTCAACATAGTCGTGTCCGCTCTCAACATGCAGCTGCGTGAGTCTGAACCTTAGGTACAGAAAGGGGGCGCCATTGACCACCCAGTACTTGTTGGTGTTATGGGGGTAGTTACCTGGAAAGTAGGGTGAAGTGATGCGGCCGAAGGTAGTGAAGGTAGTGGTGCCTGGAAGAAAAAAATAATAAAAACAGATTGTCAATTATAAACTGAAATAGAGATGTCAAGTAAAAGAAAATGATATGACATTAATTATAATATTGTATTTAGAATATTTAGAAACTTATAAATACTATATGCAAAAACAGTTGACATGTTATTGAAAATATCAAATTATGCAAAGTCAAAATGAAGTTGTATTTTTTTTGGTGTGTATACATGCACATGCTGCAGCATAGCCAAAGGCAGGATGGTTTGCCAGTTTGAAAGAATTACACTTTTAAATTGGAAAAGCTCCATATGCAGTTAAAATAAGAATTTGATCTACCACTGGCTTTATGCAATTTTCCCAAAGAGTCAACTAAAAAGATAACTAAAAGGGCAAAGTGTCTGCTTTTTCTAGTAAGAAAAAGAACCACTGAAATCTTCCAGCGGCTTCATGCATACCAGTTCCGCCACTTCCGCCACTTCCAGCTGTCACGCCTACAGAGTTCCATCTTGACACAAGGTAGTATGACAAAGAGAAGTATCTGTTAGAGGAACTGCTCAGTGTGTTGTATTTGAACAGGACCATAGACCCATTGGTTGAGGAGACGTAAGGGGTGGAGGGCGCACTTATGCCGCAGAGTGACGCTATTAAGGCATATGACCCTGTTGTTGTTGGGAGCCCGTCATATATCTGAAACATACGATCATTATGATTATAAGATTGTCTGTGGTTCCAAGGATTTCATAACTAATGACGATAATCACTTTCTTTAGTATAAAATATGAAATCACGATCATGGCTATGATTTGCTCTTGTCACAAGAGCATCATAAGGTTGAATGCCCCAAGTAAGAAAATGTTCACAGGTCTACAATTTGATCAAACAACCAAATTTACACAAATATGGAAAAAATTAGGTGTTGGTAATGGTAATATTATTATACCATGACAAAAAATAAATGAGAGAGAGAGAGAAATAAGAGAGAGAGTCTGTCTCAGATATCAAAAGTTAAGACACACTCAAACTTGTCATCCAAGTTAACTACTACTGTGTTGATTGTGGAACCCATGTTTCTGTCTTAAACATCATATCGAATCTTTAAAAATTGATCCCACTTCTGTCCGATTCTCACCTTAAGAGAACCTGAGGCACAGCTGGTAGAACTAGTGATATCAAGAGCACTGACAGTCATCTGAACAACATAATCCTGGGGCGCGTTAAAAATCCACCATCTGTCAAAGTTGCCATAAGACTCCCAGGTATTGCGTCCATATATAATTCCATTGACGGAGGATGGGGAGGAAGATCCAGTCCAGCTTTGGTAGTTAATGCCACCTGAAAATTATTGCAGGTTGTATGTTTGAAGGTTATTATAATTGTATATCCAAGCGGAAAGGGAGGGGGAGGCAAGGGCCACCTTTTTGGCTGTGATAAGGTCTGCTGTGAATCAGAATTTGATCAAGGTCCTACATACATAAAAAGTTAAAACAATCATGATCAAAATGTCCCTTTTTTCAGACGCATATCTCAAACTCCACCCACCCCCCACCTCTGAAATTGCTGAGAGTTAATTTGAAAGAAAAAATATAAACACTTGGTGGTTCTTTGTAACAGATATTTTATCTTCTTGAAGTATATTCATATAATTGTCTACCAATTTCATCTTTTAATATTCCACTTTTTTTAGATTACATGACATGGACTGTACATAGTTTATTACCTCCGCCAAGGAGGTTATGTTTTCACCCGTTTGTTTGTTTGTTTCTTTGTTTGTTTGTCTGTCATCAACATGACTCAAAAAGTTAAGGACCGATTTTGATGATATTTTCAGGGCCAAGGAACAGATGATTAATTTTTGGTGGTGATCTGGATCAATAATCAATAATAATAAAAAATTGCTGCTTTGGCAGAGGTCTGCGCTCTCGGAGTGCTTTTCTAGTACATGGGCATAATTCTGCAACTTCAAAATTTTTAGTATAATAGTAGATTTAAAGTTAATAAATTAATGGAAAACACTTATGAAAATTTTTTTCTTCAAACTTATCTGTAACAGTTTGACTGTTGCTGCTGTCCTTACCATATGAAGTTGTAACATCGGTCCCTTTCCAGTATAAATCAAACCCTACCCTGGAAATGGAGCCATCCGAATGGAAAATGACGGTTACCACTTGCTTATAAACAATAAAAGCATAGGGGGCGTCACTGGGCTGGTCATATCTGACTCCATCAACCTGGAATTCCAAGGGATCAGATTTTAAATGTTTTTATATTGAAACAGTCAATAAATTATTCTAATTGGAAATCGCTCTTACTCTCTTTCTCTCTCTCACTCTCTCTCTCACACACACACACGCACGCACGCACGCACGCACGCACGCACGCACGCACGCATGCACACACACACACACACACACACACACATGTACCCAACAGTGTGTCTATTCTCCCATTATTTGAACACAGTGGATTAAATCTTTACTTTGTTTTGGGCAGAGGGGATCTACCGTAGCTACCATTTCTATGTACCATATACTCATACCCCTGCCTGTTGTGGAAGTGTCCATAATGATTGGGGGGGGGGGGGTCACTATTTAATCTTATTATAAAAAGACCATTTCCAGATTTGCTTCTCGTCTATAGCAGTATTAACAAACTTACTTTCACATAATCATAGCTTGTCTCTAAGTTGAGATCTGCAAACTTGAAGCGGATGTAGGAGGATGGGTAGGCGTTCAGCACCCAGGTAGTGTCTCTGTTGTGAGGGTAGGTTAGTGGGTAATTGGGGGACGTCAGTCGACCCCAACCTACGTTAGACACACTAGTGGAACCTGGAATTTTAATGGTGAAATTGCAAACTATTTCTTTATTTGAAAATTTTAATTTAAAAAAAAACTGAATGAAATCGATAAAAGACATAATCGTTTTTAAGCAGAAAGATTTCATCTTGCAGTTATGCAATTAAGTAAATTTTGATAGAATATGCAAGATTTACCAGAAGATACATCCAAAGATTAAAAAATCATTTATAACAGAGGCTAATTCTCAGTAGTTTGTACAGAAGCTAGTGCAATTTTAACAAGCTTAAATCAACCCAAATTCAAATCTATGTTCATGGATCACTTAACTAATTTCATCTGGCTCTAGTGACAATTTATTTCATTTAACATTATTTAACTCTTTTATAATAACTGAAGACTTTTTTCAAAATATTTCATCATTATTCAATCTACATACCAGGCGCCAGAGTCACAGCAGAGGCAGCCACCACTGCATAACTAAGGCTGAAACCAGAATAACAGCACGCAGAATTCTCATTCGTCTGAAACACAATCATGCTGGAATTCTGCGTGGTTGTCAGCATAGATGGTGTTGTGTATCCGCAGAAACGGCCCATCAGAGCATAGGTGGCGCCAACACCCGAGGCAGTGTGCAACCCCTTCTCCGGCCTGCCGTCAAATACCTGAAATAAAATACTTGTAGCTTAGGTATTAGGTCTACTACCTCTACTTTTTCCCTCTTCTCCATCCTGTATTTATTTGTTTGTTTGCTTCTTTATTTATTTATCTTTACATTTCCATAGAGAAATACCTTAAATACTGATGAGGATAGATGAAAAGAATTAATCTTGCATAAATCAGATCTGAATTCATTCATTTTAAAAAAACCTACTGTACAGTAATCATGTGATAAATACATAGTCAATAAAAAGACCAAATACTTATTTTAAAAGCTTGTATACATCAAATCTGAGCCTCAGAGTACAGATTCCGGAAGTTGAATTTTAAAAATCATATTTCATAAATATAAATATAATCATGCCATAAATATATATTCAGTAAAAAGACCACCTACTTATAAAAAAATATATTTTTATATATATATATTTCTAAATTCTTGGTGCACCAGTTTAAAACTCAGCACAAACCTTCACAAAGTCCTGTACGCATCCCTGTGTGTCCCTCATGTCTATGGACGTGAAGGTGATGGTAATGAGGTATGACGTGCGAGCAGTTATTATCCACCAGTAGTCGTAGGTGCCGTAGTGGTTGTTAGGGTACAATGGAGAGGTCAGGGTGCCACTTCCCGTAGAGCTGTAATCATTAACATCGATTTTTCCTAAAAAACAAATGGGAATCAAATAATCATGTATTTCATTTTATTTAACTTCTTTTTTCTGTTCAATTTTGATGATCACAATGTATTAAACGCATTAGAAGTTTAAATATTTCTGGCTTGGTTTAGACAGCTTAACTCCAATGCATGATCAACTAAGCATATTTTATATTATATTTCACTTTTGTCCAAGAGCAGGAAATAAAGGATTCTGTTGGCTCATAATAATCATTGGTCATGGAAATGATCAATTAACACATTAATAAAACATAGCTGACATGGTGTACATTATATATACCATAGTTTTCAGTCATCTAATATATGAACCTCCTGCTTACCATAACTGGACCCTGTAGCTGAGGTGGCCTTGTAGTAAAGATCAAACCCTTGGCGTGTTTGTGAAGAGTCACTCCTGAAGTACACCCTGACATATGACCCCACCCCACTCACGACAAAAGAGCTGCTGGGACGAGTGACATATTTTATATTATTCACCTAAAAGAAATGATAAATTTGAGAAGGTTAATTGTGTTTTCAGTGGAAAAAGAAAAAAATTGAATTAATCTACAAACAAGAGCACTCAGAAAGTGAAGACCTCTGCCAGGACAAATATTTAACTAAAATTTAACATTAATAAATTAATAATTAATCATTCAATAATGGATGATCATAAATATCCAATTATTTCTTCCTTGGCCCATTGTGACCTTATGACCTAAATATCCTGAAAATGTCATCAAAATCCGTTCAATACTTTTTGACTTGATAACTAAACTAATAATTAACAAAAAATTATTATACGGGTCATAACCAAAATCTAACCATTTCTGCCTTGACCCATTTGTGAACTATCCTGCTTAAAAATGTCATTAAAATCTGTTCGATCTCTACTTTTTTGCCTATAGCTGCTGACAGACAGACAAACTGACAAACAAACAAACATTAAGGAAAACAATACCTCCTTGGAGGAGGTAAAAAAAGGTTAATATGAGTTCAAACTGCTGGCACTGGAGTCTGATATTTGGCCCAGCTAACATAGAACATTTTGATAGCAATAACTAATTTAAAATGGCAATTAATTCCTTTCAAATGTCACTATATTGAAGAGATGGGCACATATAGTCAAATATCCCAAAATGGTTAAGAGTATAGGCATCTCAGTTTTTTCCAGCAATTATACCTGTCATGTATAGAATTACTGCAATCATTTTTAATTCCATGTTTTAATGCTAAAACAACAGGTACAATTTCTCCACTTACCAGAACGTAGTCGTAGGATCCCCCTTCCACAGACAAAGTGGCAAAGTAGAATATAACATTGGTATATGGTGCAGGGTAAATATCCCGCTGGTAAACTACATTGTTTGAGTAATAGGCTGGAAAGTTTGGAGAAGTAAGCCTTCCCCAGACTTCTGTGGCATTGATGAGGAGAGGATCTGAAGCAAAAGGAAACACTTCTTAGTCTTCGATAATGACTACAGCACAGTAGCATGACATTTCATGCCTTTTCGTTACACATACTTAAATTTTCTGATGTATATACATGTAATGATGCTACTTAAGGCGCAATTAATGTAACAATATTCAGCCAATAGCATAGTTAATAGTTCGATCCTCACTTTGCCACCGAATTCAAGCACCACAGAACAGTAATGATGGTGACCAACTCGCAGAACAGCACAGCAAGCACAGTACAGGTTAAGGTTATATAGCTGGAGTTTTTGGGTGAATACATGAGACAAATGTCACCTGTACTAGCTAGTACAAATGGGGATTGGACTATGGTTTCTAGAAGACTTTAACCATTCCTGTCACGCCAGTAAAGTAAGAACTCACCTGTAGCATTGTTTACAGAGCATCCTGATGACACTTTAACATTATCAATAGCAAAATCCCCCCTGTAGCCAGAACCACGGATGACCTTAAACTGCAGCTGAAGTAAAAAGAACAGTATTAAAAATACACACATAAAAATGCAATTATTAACTACCCTTTTAAAGCCTTGCATGTGTAACAGTGCTTCAAGATTATCCAAGACAATTCTATTATATTACTAGTATTTAATTAATTGACTGATTAATTATAATATTACCAACTGAAATAATGTTAAAGCTGCCAAACTTTCTAGAAAAGGGAATTTTAATTAGTAAGAGAACCATTATGTACAATATTTATTTTCTGAGTTTGAAGGGATGGCATAAGAAAAAAATTCTTTCACCGGACAGTCAGAAGTGCAAAGGAGCATCATAACTTTTAACTAATACAATATATTAATACCTTGTCAAAAATTTATGTTAACGTACTAGTACATATATAACTGAAAGTGAAACTAGTAGAGTTCTGTTGTGTGTATAATTTACTACAGTATATATTGGACCGTTTCATTTAAAAAAAACTTCCATAAACCGAACATTCCACTTACCTTATAATTTACATTAGCCACAATAGCTACGGTATCATTCAACCTAACAGATTCCATAATCCAGTTGTTATTTGAAGTGACACTGCTGCTGTGCCAAAGTACATTTTGCGTTGATGTGCTTACGTGGACCAGGATCACCGACAATGTGCCCAAATCACCCCCATATGCATGGTAAGCAAAGGCCACTTCAACACACGTCTCGTGGAAAACGAAGTTGGAACTTTCCAAAATGGCCGTGTCTCCAGTATTGCGCTGTAATTACAATCATTCATGTTTGGTAGGTCATCCAATAACTAAAGGTATGCTGTCTGTGTTTGTAAAAGTCCACACATTAAAGCTAAATTTTGGAATTGGACATACTTAAAACTATCAAATATCAGTGCAGATAAAGATCGATGAACAATGATCGCTCACAAGTACTCCAGTACAGAAAACCTCCCTTTTCTACAGAAAAATTCTACTTGCCAATTTATTTTATCACATTTATAGGTGCCAACTATTTTTTGTCCCTACAAAATTATTTAGAGGGTGAGACACACTACTGACATACATGTAGATTCAAAATACTGTGGAATGACCAGTGGCGAAAAATGAAAGTGAAACCTAACACCCATAAGAGCACATACAGTGTATAAGTAAACAAAAAGTAAGTAAACACTAAGATGCCTTCTAATGCGTACTTCCTCAATATATCAGTAATAAAATAATACTCACACTAGTCACTTCTGTGTAATAGTAGTAGCCTACTCCCGCTAAACCTGTGGTGTAGTCAAACGATGGTCCAGTATTGCTGGAGGGAGTGGAGCCACTGTTGCGCGTCCATGAAAAGACAGATCCAAGACCCGTGGTAAACCCACATGTGGTGTCCGCCCTCTCAAAGTCACAGTATAGCAAACCTACAAGTTAACACCACGAAAATTAATATTTTTCTTTTTTCTGACTGTTATAATATTAAGCTCAAAGCCCTTTAATGCACTCTTCTGTTAGTATGGTTATAAATGATTTTAGCATTAGTATATTCTTTTGTAAGTAATGGTTATAAGTGGTACAGGCATTGTGTGTTTGTACAGCATCCACAACCAGTTGTTCCGTGGACTCAGGTGCCGACATTTCATCGCTCTGCCCCTGATAAGACAGCGAACATAGGTGGCAGGAATCTATTAATTTGTCAAGTGCCTGGCATATAGTGTCCAGTCTCTAGTCTAGTTAGTCTACGGATCAACTTGTTGTTAACTTGGCCAAAGATTGAACTTTTTCTCTGGGCTGACAACTGTCTTATTATTCAAACCAATCGATCGATGAGGTAATTCAGAATGTTCCAATATGGTTTAAATCTTTAACTGTTATTGGAAATCTGTATTAAGATGCTCTGAGGGAAACATTATATTGGTGAGGCATATCCTCAAAATAAGTGGGTTGCTGGCGAGAACAAATCAAATCATTCTGAAATTCACTGTTCAGCAACTGGAGTTTAATCAGTATCCAATATGTTTTATTTTATTAAGGGTGAGATCAACTCTTTTTATCAACGACCTTTGACGAGGGCTGCTTTTTCCATACCTCGATTCAGTGAGTCGCAGTAGGAGCTGTTCTCCGTGGACACTGTCACGACGTCTATCGCAAAATCTCCTGTATAGCTTGTGCCTCGCACTCCTTCAAATGCAATCTGGAACAAGGTGAAATGTACTCTGAGAATCAATTATTGGAAATGATCTCCATTATTCTATATTGAACATTTGGGCCAATGAACCTTCGAATTATTGAACCTTCAGACTATTGCAACGCACCTCCTTGCTTCAGTTTTCGGCCTTACAAGCTCACGGAACCCTTACCAGCGGTACAAACTGAGGCAAAGCACCCCCCTTCCCTCATTTTTATCGCCTGTTCCCTCCGACTCTCCCACCAACCCCCCCCCTCCCCGGCAACCACCTACCCATTCGGCAACTAACCTGAAAGTTCCCGCCTTGTTCGAAATACACGCTAGTTTCTTGCCATGAGCTGCTGGAATAACCAGTGTATTCCCAAAGCTGCTGGGTCATGTACTGACCATTGTACAGCTTGACCCTCAGGTAGCCCAAGGTGCCGCCATAGGCATTGTACCGGAAGACCAGCCGGCCACACCCTCCAGCGAGGTTCAAACTGGGGGTGTACAAAACTGCAGTGTCGCCTTGTATTCTCTGAAAGTGAACATTCGTATAGGCTTATATAGTAGTATGGCGAAATTGTTGTTTACCCCTGGAAATTCTTCTTTTATTTTGGCAAAATTAACAGTTGGTATCCCTTCAAATATATGACTATTACCAACAGATGATTCCAAAACTTATTTTATGCTCATGCAATCCATTCATACATTTTTCTGTTCTTGATAACGTTGACACAGAAAATTTCGATCAATGAATTAACGAATTATACACTTACCGGGCTTGATGTTTCTATGTACATATAATACGACCCGCTGTATGCAGCTGAGGGGCCCGTGCTGGAAGAGGGGGTGCCCCCGTAGTCTCTGCTCCAATTAAAATCGTCGCTAGTCGACTGTGTGAAACCGCAGATGCTACTGGATTCAAAGCTGCACGTGAGCAATGTCGCCTGCTCTGAAATCGAAACAAAAATGAAATAAACTTCAAAAGCTGATATAAAATAAACACAATAAATAAGAATGTGAAAAAAGGTTGCATAGTGAGCATAAATTACGATTATCGCCCTGCTTAAGTATCGGTTTGAGAGGTCTTGAAGAAAAATGCTAATTCACTAGGTCTAACTAAATGTCAATCGATATCTTAACACAAAAGTTCCCTGTTGACAAAAGTTGAAGGCCATTATTGATTCACTTGGCTGAAGCCACTTCTAGTAAACATCCAATATTTGAGCAGGAGTACTTAAAACCAGAGAAAACTGTTAATTTTCCATGAAGTTAACGTACAAGATCAATCTTTATTTTGGGGAAAATAGATTTTGCTCACCTATATTTTTATATATTCAAAAATTAATAATAAACAAAAGAACAACAGAGCAAATGACCGACACTGAATTTTAGTTGCTTTATGTTTGTCTGTTTTAACAAGGTTCATTCAAAGAAAAGGAGGTGGAACGCTTCTTGCATTATTAGCTCTCATTCATTTGTTACTTTTGTCTACAGACAGTTGCCTCTCGTTACCCAGCTCAACCATTCTGTCTGGCTTTTGTGGGTAAAAAAGGAAGTAACTTTTATTTGAGACAAACACGGAGACGGCGCAAAAGTTAAACGGATAACAACTGTTTACATGAGATTCATATTTAACAATAAATACATTATAAACAAGCCATAGAAAGGTAACAAATACCATTTTACCACCAAAACATCAATTATTCTGGAATCTGTGCTTGCCCTTAGACCACATGGACTTCAGTAGATGCATTATAGCTTCCCTCTGTAATAATCTCTTGAAATAGATTATTTCAAATAATCTTTAAAAAAAATTGAACTAACTTTGAATGTCGGAATGTATTCCATAACCATTGCTAAGTAAGAGATAATCGTCGATTACCTCAAGAAAATTTACTTTTTTCCCCCAAACGAACAGTGATTTTAAAGATAACAAAAAAATAAATAAATAAAAATAAAAAGTAAACTTGATGTATTCTAAGCCCCATGCCACTGGACCAGGTTAAGGTCTGTATTACACGCATGTTTTCAATAGCCGAACACAATGCGTATTGTCTATGTTTTTTTATTGTCCAAAAAAACAGCAAATACTCTTTATTGTGAAACATGTTTTGCCATCGCAGAGCTGTTTGCAGTTCAACGTCTGCTCATACACCCCATTCTCATAGATTAGATCGACCTACATTGGATCGACCTAACTCCCTGGGGGTTCACGCTAAATAGCTGTCAGCCGGGCGGACACGAAAGTTAATTACCCCTTTAAGCTTGTAGTAGGCGGGGACGGACACTTAAGGGGGATTATCTGACAGTAATCTAGTGAGACTCCCCGCGGTGATAGATCGATCTAAAAGTTGTGAGAACAGAGCCATAGACACTTTCACACAATGTTAGGATGCTGCATCAAACGAGGTTACATTTGTTCATATACTCGACCGTTGTTACCCGTGTATCCCCACGGTCTACAATATTTATAAACAGAACGTCTGGGTCATTGATATTCAAAGATATAACAATTGTCGCAATGTTTTTGATCTCGTGTTTTAGCAGTCTATACAGTTATAAGCATTGACTGAAATCTACAATTTAAACTATATCACAAAAATATTTTTAATGTATCTAGCGTTTTTCTATTTTTTTTATTTATTTTGCTTGTATTCGTTTTCATTAATTTTTAATAAAACATCACATTTCGAATTTCAGATATACCAGCTGTGAGGGTCATAACTTTTCATTTTGTTGCTTTTTTTATTTTATCTTTTAAAGGTATATATATTTTTCGCATTTGAAAATATTCTAATTATTTTTATATTTTCTATGTCCACTGGTCTTAAAAAGCTATTAATCTTTCCCATTTCAAACCTTTACAACGATAAGACCCCTCAATAAAAATACATGATGTCTGAAATGTACGTTAAAACATAGCGCTCATTGCGGGGAAACATTTATAAAAATATTTTTTAAAATATCACATCTAGGGTGTCAGGTATAATAACTTATATATGTGACCGATACGACGTTTTATTTTCAGGAATTCTTTTAATTCAAACTTTTAAATATTTTAAACTATAACACGCGTAAATCCATGTCTTCGTTATCACTTTGATAACGAGACGGTAATTTGTTTAAAGAGAGCAGGTTGTTTAAAGTGGGCTACAGTTAATAGTAGGGTCTATAAAATGAAAAGTGAGGTGATAAATTAGATCAAGAAAGTATATACTTCCTTCTTTAGACAAGGCCCACTGATATGGTAACAGACTTGTATTGTAAGATAAAAGGTGATTTATTAATATCTATCTTGATGGCTTGGACTCGCGCGTTTTGGTCTCACTGCACGATACTTAAAACCCCGTCTAAACAGTCTTCATATGTAACTTCTAATGACATATTATATATTATACAGTATGTGCCACGCATATCACAACAAATGTGACATAAGCTAATAATAAAAATAAAAATTCGTACAGTTTTCTGTCTATCTCAAAGAATTAAAATGATGCATGCTCAAGTCTCAAATAGTGAAAGCTTTTTTCCGAGAGCTGTTGGCCATCACCCACATCACCCATATTATTATTATTATTTTTTTTTTTTGAGGGGGGGGGGGGGGCTGAAAAAGTCATGTCTCTGTAGACTTGTGAAAATGATGGTAACAATGGACGATCGCGACCCCTAACGGCATTTATTTTAACCAGATTTCTGAACGGTTGCCAGTAATATTTAACCAGCATCCTACAATGTCTTATCTTTGCCATAAAGGTAAAGAATCATTACAGCTGCCCGGCACCCCCCCCCCCCTATCTTCCCTGCCAATGGATCCAAGATTTTGTTAATTGAGGCCGGAGCACAAACATGGTCTTTAGGCTTAGTTTAAACAGTAGACGAGGAGAATAAGTAACTATGTTATGTATCGGTAGGTCACAAGGGGTAAAAAAATCGCTGTATTTTTATATTTATATCATTTGGGCGGGGGAGGGGGTATTAGGGTAACACGCCCGCTGTGCCATCCCCAGCACCCCCCTCCATCCCTACTGCCACCGATATTGTACCAAGACTCTTGACATATATAAGCATTTATCAGTTATTTTCACATCTCTATCTATTTTATTTTAGTGACGATGACATCATTAATCATTTTAAAAGACCTGAGCCGGATCTTAGCAAGGTTAAATTGCACGTGACGGCGTTGAGCCCCCCCCCCCCCCCCCAACACACTCAAAAACACCTCTCTCTCTCTCTTCTAAATTTTAGTAAATATTGCGGTTAAGTACACAATTTTCATCTTCTTGAACATAATATCCGTAAATTTAAGTGATGACATGACGGTCTAAACCACCAGTAGGCATTTTAATGCGATTAGTGAGATGCTGATTTCGCAATCCTGGCCAAAGCTCTACTTTACCTGGTGCCCTTTTAATTAGGACATCTTTTACCAAGCAAAATTCACCCTCCAAACTTACCACTGCATGGTAGCAACAGCACCAGAAGTAACGTGAGAACTGAGAGGTGTTTGTACCGTGAAGAAACCATGCTTGCGGAAAAGTTATCCCTCTTAATATGCCGTCATTTCATCGCGTGGCGCAGTAGCTGTATCAGTTAATCGTCCCGTTTGACGCCATTTTGCTTTTGTACAATCGATCAGAGCGTGTAAAATTGACCTGGGTATTGAATAGTAAAGTTGTTTACATATTGTTGTCAAAGGGACGTTTACGCTCAGACGAGCAAAATAAAAGGACGCGTTTTAGTGGCGTGCGCAGTGGTTTAATGCGCAACCACCTATAAATATGCAGAGGATATCATTTCCAAGAAATAAAATGAAAGCAATATGCTTGTTTATCATTGCAAAAAGTTCCCTTATAAAGTTGTAAAAAGGTTTTATGTAATTTAAGTTATAATTAGACGTACTTTAGGTCAAACATGTAAACGGAGGTAGTTTTAAAAGCATTTCTGAATAATTTTGTTTAAGTAAATCTTATACTGGACTTGTGATTATTATAACCGATAACGTTCCGGTCGATTTATCAAGGCGTATGAATATGTATAATGAGACATAATACCAAGAAGACGTCACTAGAAATGACTAGCCCTGTGTCGGTGTAGGCCTATATCATAGGTCCTACTATAGGCCAGTGGAAAAATAAGATGATAAACTTGTCGCTTTATACCATTTAGAATACTCTACCTTTCAATCAATCAAAAGGATTTCATTCAATGCAAGAAAACATGCGTGTTTTTTGTTTATTTGTCTAAGACATACCCTTGTGACGCAATAACGAAGCGACGTCTTGAAGTTGAAAGTTCCTTTCGATTATGGCGTAATTGAGTGACGTCATAATAGTGTCAAGTCACGCGGGGTCTTCGCTGCTTAACATCATCCTGAAGCATGGATCTCCCTGTCCGACTCTTGGTGCTGCTTCAAAAGTTATGCTAACCGACCAACGACTGCTGACATGGCGCAAAATGAAGCTGCGCCAAATCCGGGGGAAGTGTTTGGTCAATTTGAGACAGGACAACAGTGAGCATATTTTTATTATATTATATTAATTTTGAATAGAGGGGAAAAGTTAACTTTTCAGAGCCAAGACTACCAGCATGGCTGAACTTTTTTTATTTGTCCTAAGTGCAACTTTGACAGAAATGCTGCATTTGTTTAAGATCAGTTATGCGACATAAGTATTTATTGTATTATAAATTCGTGTCCTTTATTATCGATTCAAGTTTGCCATTGAATATATGAAAAAAAAAATAATGGGGATAACAAATAAGTCTTAAGATTACAGTGCAAGTGATTTATTGACATAAATTTATTCATTTGAATTCATGTTGTCATTCAATTACTTTTCATAGGTTTTTGAAGGTGTTCTCAAAAATAATGAGCAGCCGCGCATATCTAGAGAAGACAGTTTCGGAGACGTATCAGAGATGGGCTGAAAACACCTATTATGAACTACACAGAGTGCCACTGACAAACGGTTAGGATGAATATTTAAATTTAAAAATATTTAAAATACATCAAATCTCAATAAAAAAATTCAGAATTAAAATAATTTTAAAAAAAGCAAAAAATGATAGGCGTAATACAGTTACGGCTCAGTCAGAAACCCGATCTTTGGAAAGTCGAAACTCAATTAATAAGTATCAGTCTAGTACAACTCATAGTTGAAAAGAAAACCAATATTTCCCTGAATTTAACCAAGTCTATACCGAGATTAAAATAACCTCTGGTTAGTCTGTTACAGATTTTCCTTTTCAAAATCTTAATCAGGGTCCCAAACAGACCAGGACTATCAGCGCGCGGTGGACATGATGGTGAACCTGGCCAGAGAGCAGTCGGACGCCCATTACAGGGCCTATATGATGATCACCGAGGTGGACAAGTCTCCGCTGTCACTTTTAAATAGGTGATTTATGTTTGTGCGTGCTTACAAGTGTGTTTGCATGTGTGCGTGTGTGCGTGTTCTCACGTGTTTGTATGTGTGTGTGCATGCGCTTTTATCTGTGTCTGTATGCGTGTTTGCCTTAGTGCATTCGTGCGATTGAGCGCGCGTATGTGGGTGTGTACGTGCGCGCGTGCGCGCTCCAGCGCTTCTTATAAGAATAAGTGAGTTATTCAGGAAAAGATATATGCAAATGATTGCGTTTCTGGCATTTGTTTCTATCGTCTATCGTTAAAGTTAAAGGTAATAATAAGCATACCATGCGTAACTGCTTTTTGAATCAGTAATTTGACATTTTCATGTATGGAAAGTCTCATGCAGGTTTGAAATAAATCAAGGACAATCCCAACTATGTTTAGGCTCTGACCACATTATTTGACGTTCACTCTATTTCACGTATATTAGCATAATACGTTTCATCTTCCTTTTTATGTCCAAGATCTTATGTTGTGTTTTAATGTAACCTTCTAGTAACGGGCGGATGACCAATTTTAGGTTTCTAAAAATTAATGAAAGTACTTCAAAAGTGCTCCCTATTTCTACTAGTTAATGTTATTTTGTCGTTCTTCAAGCTTTCAAAATGACACATACCAGAGTGATGGACGCCCGTTGTCCGCCATAGATCCCAAAGAAACCAAAGACCATTTCAAGGCCCGGATACAGCAACTGAACAGAAGGCAAAAAGAGATGATCAAGAAAGTGACTAAGGCGAGAGAGGTGAGGATTCACGGCATTAAAACATTTTGCGACCATATTCTCTTCATGTCTGATGTAAACTTCCGTATTTTGAATCCTTCAAAACAATGTATCAAAAGTAATCTTCTTTGGGGTACTAATTTCCCTCGCCACCGTGCGCATCTTTGGTAAGTGTGGCCTCTTTTAAAGCAATAAATCTAAATCGAACTTTTTAAAAAATACATATGTGATTCTCATTCACAAAAGCCGCCTTATATTGATTGAAGAAAACTAACTGACCAACTAACTAACTGGCAAAATATCTAACTAACTAAATAAATAAATAAATCGCAATCCAAATCTCATCTTGCAACCAACCGCCATCTTGCGCCAATTTCCTTTTGTTTTTTACAGGAATTTATAAAGATGAATGCAAAATGTGAAGACTGTCGCGAGGCTCTGCGTAAACTGAGGCTGCGACGGTCCTACCCCGCGGCCAAAGAGGAGGCCATCGTAGAACAACTCCATGGCAGAGAGGCGAAGATGGACGTGGCATTTAGTGTATACGAGAGCCGCCAGAAGTCGCTCGACGAGCTCCAGGTGGAGTTTTTGAAGGTGGGTATTTCAGTGATTTTTTTCATTTCTTAGAATTGCCTGTTTATCTATTTATACTTGAAACAGTCGTTAATGCAGAACATTTCTAAAGAGTATGAGACAACATAAAATGGTGTGATGGAATTGAAAATTGAGGTTAATTACCCCAGGGTGGCGAGAAAAGGTTCACAGGTCGTATACGTGACGCCCTACATCACATATCCTTGTAATATTAATGTGGCTGTACACAGAATCATACATCTCTCTCTTTTATCCAACCGATACTATCTTACTACCTGCTTCTCGGATTTGAATGCTTTACTGTTGCAAAAAAAGTCCAATACCTCTGAATAAGAGCGAACGTGAAATGTTTCACTATTATTTTCAAATCTGTCTTCTTGTGCTTATCTTTCTTTAATTTCCCCAGGAAATGGGGAACATTGCCTCAGATATCATGGAAAAGGAAATAGTTCGACTGCAAGTTATGAAAATGGCTTTACAAAAGGTACTTATAATTTTCGTTGTTTTATATTTTGTATAAGCTTAAAAACACGACTTTTGCCCAAGTTTTACGTTGAAGACCAATTGCAATGCCTAAAGCCAACAAAAATAACCTATATTTTATTATTAAAGGCCTTTTCGCAGGGAACGTTCTGTCTTTACCCTTCCATTTTAACCGATCTGTTTTGAGATGGCAGCTGAGCACGGCTATTGTGTACGAGAATAGCCTAAATGACGTCCCGGAGCTCGACTCGCCCGGCAACTAATTTCTACTCCCTGACGCCCTGCTAATTCTTTGCACTCAAAGAAGACGGCAAGGTTGTGAAAGCGAGTGAAGCCCCCGTTGTGTCGTAGGGCCTCTCAAAACAGAACGCTATAGATGGAACCATATAATTTTTAAGCTACAGTGTTCTATAAGAAAGAGACTTCATTTTAATTTGGTAAAGGCGCGACATATTTAGGTCTAATTTGCAGGTGGTAAATGCCATAGACATTCCGAATCGTCAAAACAGAGCGCACTGGCGTAACTTACAGCGTCAGGTCAACAGCGTGATCATATCCGGAAAGACCAATAGTCAGAGCATTCCCGTTGACAATAAAGAGGAAGTGACGTCATCTTATGAGGTACTGTAGTATATATACTGTAGTATATATTAAAAAAAAAAGAAAAGAAACGTTTTTTGTATTTTGTCAAAGTCTAATTGGTGGTTTATAAGAAAACGGCGTACAGAACATGCACACAACCTGTCTGGAACCTAGAACATAGCTATGTCGAGATACCTATTCTTGTTTCGTGCAGTTTTTCTTCAGATTTACTTCACAAATAAAACCGATTTCAAGTAAAGTACAGTCCTAATCCAGGCGGTTTGTTCCGTCACATTTGCCTGGGAGCTTGAATAAGCTGTTTATTGAGAGAAAGGCTTTATATTTTGCGGGTTATGTAGGGCCTTTCATAACCATGTACTTGGTGGAAATTACCCCTGATGACCGTAAGTGCAAAGAAAAATTGATAGTATACTCAAATATTTACGCGCTCGCCGCCAAGCCTTGCCCACGTATAGACAAACATGTACACACAAACACATACACAGTAGCCGAAAACACGACATGGCGACTCTCTAAAAAATGCCTATTCATTAGCCATGCGCAGGCGGGCTTTATAAACGGCTCAAGATGTCAATCAAAAGGCGCCAAACTTAATTAATCAGGTCATAATAGATAATGATAAGATTTGTTTAAGTGGTAACTATTTATCAATAATGTCAGTTTTCTCATTTCTTATTTCGTTCAATATTCAGAGAAAAAACAGGTTATTTGTGGTCAATGGCGTATCCTTCAGCGATCCTTGAGTATTCTTCGAAAGCTGCTCAATTATATTTTAAAAGTATTAGGCCTATATAGTAATATTTATCATAAATTTATTTAGAAATAAAATATAATCACCAAACTGTCTGGGCTAAAACTGCTTTCGTTCTTCGTTCAGGACTTGGCAGACGAGGCTATTGGGGGTGCCGAACCAAACGAGGTCGACGAACAAGTTGACAGGACGAGGCTTGTTGTCCTGGCACACGAAAAAGACTCGAAACCCAAAGAGAAAGGAAAGCAAAAACCCAAAGGACTCAAGTCACCGCGTCGATCCCCAGTTGCCCCTCTTGCTCAGCCAATGAAGGAGAAAGAAGAACCGTTGACATTCGAGTGGCAACGGCCTGATGCGGCAAGGGAGTCGACAAAAGTGCAACATGTCGAACGAGGTGCGCACGTACTCCGGAAGTTAGATCAGGACATCATGAAGCTGATTGATGTAGAAGAGTAAGACGCAATATGTTTCTTAAATTCAGTAACTTTTATTTTGTTTCTTCGTGTTTTATAATTTTTTTATAGCTTGTAAATTTCATGATCGCTTTTAAGAAGCTAAAGAGCGCATTCAGAACGGATGATATGCGGACTAAATGAGGCCGACCCCACTTAAAAGCAAGCCGCCTAATCCTCTGACCAACACCCCGCCTTCACACGTGTCATAAAACGGATTAAATCTCGGCTCCGAGGTTAAAGTGCCAGGCCCCTGCAGGGATGGCGCGTGTGGAGGTGGGGAGACCATTAGGGTCGCCTTTTTATGTGTCAGACTGCGTATCTGTTAGTCCGCGGATCAACTTGTTCTGATAGCAGTTTTATTTTGAAGTTTTATTTTGGTAAAGATGGCTAATAGAATTCATACTTTATATGAATAAACAATTTTTCTTATTTTTATCTTTTGTAGCGATGAATTGGAATTTTGACTGTTTTGCAGAAAACGTTCCAAAATGAAGGTATGTTATGGAACCTTCTTGACGATAGGGACACCGCGCATTAAATCATTGAACGCACAGCTTATGGCTAAGGGCGCATCTCAACTAACACAATTGCCTTGTTGATTGAATATGGAACAATTGGTGGAAGGGGGAGGGGGGGGGTAAGCGTTGAATTGGGGAAAAATACAGACTGGGAGAGAGGGGATAACGGCAGACATTTAGCACTTATAATTGGTTGTCTGGGGTTTACCCTAGTACGGGATATGTAGATCATGTATTTAAGTATACATGTACATTAGCTTAAGACAGGCATGATTAAAAAATATTGAGGAAAGGGGTGTGAGAATTGGCTAAGCCTACATTACACTTCTCATAACATATAGATACGTTGTTTATGGATCACTGTAAATAGCTGTTTTGTGAATAACACTTGTAGCTATTTAAAATATTTAGCATGTTTACCCATATTGTAAAGGGGGCCAGATCGGAAAGGGGTGCTGCGGTATTAACTGCCCCTTTCATAACTTCCAGGTTGATTTGTTTTTATTATTTTACTACAGGATACCAGTCACCAAGGGAAATCATTTGACCAAAGAGCTGCGAAGTTAACAGATACCAGTGGGTCACTTTTTTTTTTCTAAAAGTGCTTTTAAAGCCAACTATAACTTGTGTATATGGAGAAATTCAGTAATTTAATAAGTACATTTTACACAGATACAAACGCAATGCAACTCGTATATGAGGGATGTAATACCTTCTTACCCAAACATTTCCATTTGTTGTTCACGATTATCAATTAGCTTTATAAATAAAAAAGAAAACCTCTTCAGATATTTGTAAATGTTTATACAGAATCGTCATGCATATCAAGTTTTGCAATTGCAATAATTTACATTAATGAATAAAGATGTAAAAATGACATGTAAAAATTGATCAATGGTAACAATATTTGTACATGATGCTGATGAAGATAGACATATATCAAAGACTTCACAGGAAACATTGACCAACCACACATGAATACTAAGATAAAATTTTAACACACCTTTGGATTGGTGTGTTTGATAAAAATACGATAAAATCAAAATGATAACCATTAGCGCGTTATTTCCATATGCTTTGGTCTTTAACGTCAATGAGTTACAGTTAATTGAAATTGGAATTGGAAATTAAGCGTTGCTTCTGTGTCCGGTATGAAATGCGTACTGTTAAAAAATTCTCTGAATTTATCAACATGAGAGAAAAAGAGGTTTGTTAAATCTACAAGTATTATCCACAAGCCTAGATCAAAATGTAAATTTCCATACAGAATCCGTGGAATTTTTTTTTATGTAGGCCTACTGTATCGCACTACGAAGTCACCGTCGCATTTCAAACACCCTAACCACGCCCCCTTGATCACAAATCACGAGACTATAATCACGGGACGTCGTAACCGCTGCGGGATATCTCACCCCGTCCGCCTTTCCCGCAGCATAGTCAATGTGTATTCCAGCTCGCACAACATGGACCCGATGATTTGCAAAATCGGCGACAAAAAAGTTTCCGCTTTTATCAGAACAAATCCCAGCGGGGCTGGCTAATTGTTGCTCATCACTCCCGTAACTGCCATATTGAAATATTGGTCTCCCGTTGAGGTCGTACGCTTTTACACACGATTCCAGCGCATCCAGAACGGCGACGGTATTGTGACGTTCGTCTATGGCGACGTGAAGGGGCCGCTGGAACGTGCTATTACGTATTTCAGGGCCTGGAATTGTCTGTAGGAGAACGCCGTCTCTGTCAAAGATATGCACGCGCTGTTTCTCGGCTAGAGGCGGGGAATCCGTGATGGCGAAATACCCACGTAAACTGACGGCGATGCCTCTGGGATGGGAAAGACGTCCATGGCTGATGTTACGCTCAAAACGTCCATCGTGGGAGAATATTTTCACGCTGGAAGTACGCACGTCAGTTACAGCGTAACGACCGTCATCAAAGGCTGATATGGACCATGGTGCTTTAAATCTCGGATACGCGTCGTGGCCGAAGGACCCAACGTGCTGTCCAGTTTTTAGGGCGTACAGCTTGACTACTTTGTTGCGTTGGTCAACTACGGCCAGTTCGCCATTTTCTGGGTTGACCACACAGTCGGTGATGTATGGCTCTGCAATGTCGCTGTCACAGCTGGCGTGAAATTTATGAAGAATTTTGATCTTTTTTGATCCTGTCCACATGGTGGCAGTGACACGCGGCACGTGTTGGTAAGACTGATAAATATTATTAAGAAATACTGTGCTTGTCCAGATTTATAAAAACACTTAAGATGATTTATATCATTTCTCTCAAATTAGGAAAGAGACTTAGTCTCCATTTCTTCTTTTATCACGTCCACACAATTTGAATTGTTTTAAACCTCCTTTCATTATAAATCTCCACAGAAACTTCGTTCTGTGCAACACAAATCACGTAATATAATAAATTGTGGATCTGTCGTCACAGTTATGTCAAGGCGTATAATCCTAAGAAATAAGCATTTATCGAACGCCCGTGATGTTTTTACTGGATCCTACAAATATGACTTACTGTGCTTTTTCAATACAATAGAAGTCGTACGTCGAATGCTCCAAATTCAGTCTTTATCCCCAAAAAAACACACCTCTAATCCAGTCTAGTGTTAACTGCACAAGTGCGTTGGAGATCAGAAGATCAATTAACTCCCTGTGCTGTCGACTCCCTGACGTTGAGTCACTAAAATCAAGCTGTTTATTACAGCATCCAAACAATGTAAATTCTAGTTACCTTGGTATTTGATCCTGCGAGCTCTCAATTCTCTGTAGTGTCTCAACTAGTGAGTCACGTATAGCACAGAAACCCGCACAAATCACACCTGAGTGAGTACCTGTTTTAAGTCGACGCGTATGACGGAGAGTGGGCAGTGGTCACTACCGGCTTGGGTGGGAGTTTGATCTACCTGTCAGGTGTGCTTTTAATATAGATTCCAGTACCACGCGTCAACACGACTGTGTACATTGTCACCTTTATCACCTGATCGCTGTTTTCCTGTCAACTTTCTACCGATGCTATCTCACCTGTACATTCATAGTTACAAGGTGGACGCCGCAGGGTCTCGTTTTAGTGGCTGCAGGACATGACCCGCCTCCGGTCATCTGCTGCTCATTTCCGGAATGTAATTATTAAGTCCGAGATAACGTCGGGTGTCCGCGTGAAAGACCTGTAACATAAATAAATGACGAAATATGCTTAGAAAGAGTGGTGCACTTGAACAGACGGTAAACATTGTAGCTCGAAAACGGGTACATACTGTAATCTCTATGGATTTGGATAGGGCGTACCTTGACAATCAAAGGGAAATTAATTTGCTATACAAAGATTTAACGCTTATTTTATGTCCTTATGCAGGACCACTAGAAAAAGGTGTGTGTGAGAGTGGCATTTAGAATCTATCTAGTTTGTGGATGACCAATTAAGCTTATTGCGCCAGATTGTTTGTGAGCTATTAACTAATCAGTGATTGATTATACAACGAAGTAGAATACTGGCATGCCATTGAATTAATGAACTCGATCTGTTTGAAAAGTCAGGGAGTTTTATGACAGCTGGTATTTGATGACACACAGTAATTTAATCTATTGGACTAATTCAATGTCATATAATTGATTAAAATGACCTTTTTAAAAATGCCAGAGGCCAGCATTAGACACCTGGATGGATCCTTAAAATATCAAAGTCCTTTTAAAGGACAACAGCACAATAAAATTCCTTTTCGTGAGTATTCGTTGCATCAACATTTGTGTTTACATATTATATATTTTTTTCATAGTTTCAGTACTTAAGTTATAGAATACTAGTATTTGTATATTGTAAGGCCACAGTCCTTGTACTGTAAATTATGTACCTTTACCCAATAAATAAATAAATAAATAAATAAATAAATAAATAAATAAACCCGGATAACCTTTCAATGGCGTGATCAAAACTGTGGCAAGTATTTATGTCAAGTTATTCTGTTAAACTGGGTGCTAAAACAATATCTAATCCTGTGAACAGTGATATATTTTGAGTCTTAGATCCCTTTAGCAACGCTGTTGGCGTCTTTTATATGTATGTAACTTCTAAGCGTTGAATCTTTCAACTCACAGCGATAGTGCTGTCGTTTATTTTGATACAATCTCATAAACTGTATGTGAGGCGAATACGCCTTCAGCTCTCCGGCAGTTACGACGGAATATTCATTTGTTACATTACCGTGTGAATCTCTCTCTCTCGCACTCACTCACACACACGCACACACACATACACACATATCTCCTATCTATCTCCCCCCCTCTCTCTCTCTCTGTTGGGCATTTATATATAAATAAAGACATATTGACCAAGGGACATACGACACACTGTAAATACAAACGTGTACTCACCTCTCTCCCTCCACTGTAAAGGTTCCTTAATGAACTTAATAGTCAAGGCCCTAATTAGCCGTACTTTCAAGCAGGGGTGAGAATTACGTCCTCCCTTGGTGACACCGGACTAAACTGACTGTTACAATGTACGGTAAATTTGATACCGACTGGGCACGCCCACTACGCCAACTTGTTCAGGAAGTGATTAATCGTTCACATTCCTCCGCTCAGGTAAATCCTCAGACTCGATCGATCGGTTCACTTACCTGTCGGTAGTATTGATAGTTCAGCATTCCATTGATTTGTTGGCCGTATAACGGAATTCAGTGTAATAGCATAATGTATATAATCGTGTATGGCAAGCCTGTCTAAACAGAAACCAATCGGAGGTGTATCATCTGGAAAACATGCTGTGTATCCGCCAGTTTGGTTGCAATCTTCTATGGTTAAGACGGCGATTAGGTTAATTGAATTGGCCCATCTTTTCCAAGTAGAAAAAGACTCAGCGAGGTCAATGGGCTGTTGGTCCATTCATCAACATGAGTAAAGATCCATGGTTCGGGCCGCAAAGAAATGCACTGAAAACACGGTCATGTATTGTGCGGTTTTCACGCCCCCAGTTCAGTAAAAAAATTGCCTTTGCGGTACAAAATGGAGTCGATTGTCCACATTCCGGGCCACGCTACTAAATGTTATACAACAGATGCATGTATTGTCCAGAGTTTTATGTCACGGTTGTGCTGTTAAAAGTCTACTTAAGGCGGGTGACACAATGGTTGGATAAATTAGGAATCACAATAATCAATATTTGTGAACGACGGCATAATGTTTGTGTTTGGTCGGTATTCAATACTTGTGTTCGCGAGGTGCTTAGTGGTGCTCAAAGAGGTGTAATAGAGGGCCCCGAGGTTGGTACACGTGTTCGCACAGGCCCGTAGCCAGTGTGTGTGTGTGTGTGTGTGGGGGGGGGGGGGGGGGGGGGGGGGCTTTTTGCTGGGAAAAGGTCTACTCTGGGTAAATTTGATCTAGGTAAACTAAGGTTTCATGCAAAAAAAATCCACATTTTCTAAGGTTTCATGCAAAAAGATCCACATTTTCTGAAAAGAACCCCCCTTTTACATTTTGTAATTGCTGGCTATGGGCCTGGTGCGCACGTGTACACGTGTGTGTGTGTGTGTGTGTGTGTGTGTGAGAGAGAGAGAGAGAGAGAGAGAGAGGACACTGGAGTTCGAATAGAAATAAAAATGAAATCAACACCAATAAAAGTGTTTTCGTGGGCACTGGTTTATTTAGTTCATTGCAAAATTGAAGCGTATTCCTTGAGTACAATATGTTTAGCAAGATACTTCATTGTGTAACCATGTTAAACAAAATACAATAGGTGATTTGTTTATGTTTAGCAAGATACTTCTTTGAAAACAATAGCATTTGGTGTAACCATGTAAAACAAATATATTGAAAACAGTTCTTTTTGTGAAAATGTATAAACAATCAAACAAAAGGACACTTTCTGGTGTACTTTTCGAGATAAATTCCACAGATAAATTTCTAAATCATGAAACGCAGTTCTGATGTTGATTGTTGAAATAACAACTTAATTCTAAAGCCAGCAAAGCAAATAGCAAAAACCTCAGTGTAAATCCTCTGGTTTTTTACGGAATTGGGTTTTCAAGTAAGACGAAAAAAATGAACAAGAAATTTAAAAGAAAAAGCCAAATTTGTTTCATTATAAAATCTTTTTTTTTTTTTTCAATTTCAACACGTAGAGGAAAAATATAACGAATTTTAAAAAGCATATCACGAATCATCTACCCTTTAATACAGATCGATTCTCGAAGGGAGAGCAAATAACGAATCATTTCAATGTTGCGTCTTAAAGCCGCTACTTAAACTCTAAGACTAGGTTCCAAGATCGATCTATCTCCGAGGGGTCTCTCGTTAAATTGCTTTCAGCTTAGGCGGCTTAGCTGTCTGGCACGCCTACTGAGGGTGCTAAACGATAATTAATTACCCTCTAGCAGCTTCAGTAGGCGTGACAGACATCTAAGCCGCTTAAGTTGCTTGCAATTTAGCGAGAATCCCCTAGGAGTTAGATCGATCCACGGTAAGTACGTTAGGGTCTGGTCCCTAAGGACCTTGGTCACAGTTCACGCCGGTGTATCCAGGGTCACAGATGCATTTGTATCCGTTGACCAGGTCGACGCAGACGCCGTTCCAACAAGGCCAGCTATCACACTCGTTCATGTCCACGCCGCAGTCCTTGCCTTGGTACCCTGAAGAACACAACGAGGTTTATGATGTTACAGTATTACACAATGACGACCCTGTGCGTGAGTATTTTAACTGAATGAGCTGCCATGCTACAAATAAATAAATCAGGAACAAAGACAATGACTAACGCAATCAAACTTGCAAACTATCATAATAATTTTAATAAAAATTATGACCAGAAACTATTCAAAGAGAGTGAAACTTCAAATNTCTGCTTGCCATTGCTGATCTGTACGACCAACAACAACACGATTGGTATGGAATCTTTTTCTGACGTTAGCGTGTAGAGTATATGTATCTTGTTTCGTCAAGAACTCTTCGATTTGCATACGGGTGATCTTCTTTTTAGCTTTTCTCGCCGCTTCATATAATTTCAATGCACTACCAAAACTAGCAGGGTTGGAAGGGTCGTACCTGTAATATAATGTCCTTAAATATTCATCTATCTGTTTCTTACTATTACTGCTTGTTTGTTTTCTCTTCATCTTACTTTTTTCAACTGTTTCCAAGAAGGCTAAAGTATGTGTTTAAATAAATATCTTTAAAAGAGTCTGTACGTTTTTTGAGAAGATATCCCAGAATTTCTGTCCACTTCATCAAAGTTTATGTTCAACAGTGTTTTCACCGTACTGCCTGTGTAGTTAGATTTTTTTTCGTTGGCGACAAACAGCTGCACAAATTCGTGGCGCTTTTCGGGTTTGAGAGGGACGTTTATTGGATTCGTAAGTCTCCTTTCAACGGTATTCATAGTACACTGCGGACTGTGGTCTTCATGCTCTTTATCAGCAGCATCCCTCAGTGGATCCCAATTCTTTAGGCTGACCCGACAGTTGAAACAATTGACAGTGTCGTCTGTACTTGATGCATTGGGGTCCCTATAAAACCCGCTTATGGCTAAAGGTATAGGGTTGATGAGAAGTTTACCAGGCCAGTTAAGAAAACTAAGAATCCTCTCTTCTTCCTTACAAAAAGGTACTTGAAAAAAGAAAGGCTTGTCATCGGGAGCACAGTCCTCGAATACTTCACTGTCGTCCATCACTTATGAAACACTTGCTTTTACCGACAGTATTTATCAAGGACAAAACCCAATCAGAAACCGCTTTGTTGGACAAGATCCAATCACATACAAAGAGTCATTTTAACCAACTGTGTTTACGATAAATTTGATACCGACTGGGCACGCCCACAACGCTAACTTGTTCAGGAAGTGATTAATCGTTCACATTCCTCCGCTCAGGTAAATCCTCAGACTCGATCGATCGGTTCATTTACCTGTCGCAAGTATTGATAGTTCAGCATTCCATTGATCTGTCGGCCGTATAACGGAATTCAGTGTAATAGTATAATGTATATAATCGTGTATGGCAAGCCTGTCTTAACAGGACCAATCGGAGGTGTATCACCTGGAAAACATGCTGTGTATCCACCAGTTTGGTTGCAATCTTCTATGGCTATTAAGACGGCGATTAGGTTATTTGTATTGGCCCATCTTTTCCAAGTGGCAAAAGATTCAGCGAGGTCAACGGGCTGTTGGTCCATTCATCAACAAGAGTAAAGATCCATGGTTCGGGCCGCAAAGAAATGCACTGAAAACACGGTCATGTATTGTGCGGTTTTCACGCCCCCAGTTCGGTAAAAAAAATTGCCTTTGCGGTACAAAATGGAGTCAATTGTCCACATTCCGGGCCACATTATTAAATGTTTTACAAGAGATGCATGTATTGTCCAGAGTTTGTCACGGTTGTGCTGTTAAAAGTCTACTTAAGGCGGGTGACACAATGGTTGGATAAATTAGGAATCACAATAATCAATATTTGTGAACGACGGCATAATGTTTGTGTTTGGGTGGTATTCAATACTTGTGTTAGCAAGGTGCTTAGTGGTGCTAAAAGAGGTGTAATGGAGGGCCCTAGCGTTTGTACACGTGTCCGCACAGGCCCGTAGCCAGTGGAGTGGGGGGAGTTCACAGGAGCCCCCCTTTTTGCTGGGAAAAGGTCTATTCTGGGTAAATTTGATGTAGATAAACTAAGGTTTCATGAAAAAAGGTCCACATTTTCTGAAAAAGAACCCCCATTTGCCTTTTGCAATTGCTGGCTACTGGCCTGGTGCATGTGTGTGTGTGTGTGTGTGTGAGAGAGAGAGAGAGAGAGAGAGAGAGAGAGAGAGAGAGAGAGAAAGGTCACTGGAGTTCGAACAGAAATAAAAATGAAATGAACATCAATAAAAAGTGTTTCCGTGGGCAATGGTTTATTTAGTTCATAGCAAAATTGAAGCGTATTCCTTGAGTACAATATGTTTAGCAACATACTTCTTTGAAAACAATAGTATTTGGTGTAACCATATAAAACAAATATATTGAAGAAAGTTCTTTTCGTGAAAAATATATAATCAATCAAACAAATGAGCATTTTCCGGTGTAATTTTCGAGATAAATTCCATATTAGTTTCATTCTAAATCACGAAACGCAGTTTTGATTCTGATTGTTGAAATAAGAACTTAATTCTAAAGCCAGTGAAGCAAATAGCGTAAAAAAGGTCAGTGCAAATCATCTGGTTTATTACGGAATTGGAATATTCAAGTAAGACGTAGAAAATGAACAAAAATTAAAAGAAAAACCCAAATTTGTTCCAATATAAAACCTTTTTTTGCTGCAGATAAATTTCAACACGTAGAGGAAAAATATCACGATTTTTTAAAAAGCACATCACGAAGCGCGTACCCTATACTACAGATCGATTCTCGAAGGGAGAGCAAATAACGAATCATTTCAATGTTGCGTCTTAAGGCCACCAGTTAAACTCTTAAGGTCCTCTTTGTTCACAGTTCACGCCGGTGAATCCAGGGTCGCAGTCACACCTGTATCCGTTGACCAGGTCGACGCAAACGCCGTCCCAACAAGGCCAGCTATCACACTCGTTAATGTCCACGCTGCAGTCCTTGCCTTGGTACCCTGAAGAACACGGGGAGGTTTATGATGTTACAGTATTACACAATGACGACCCTGTGCGTGAGTATTTTAACTGAATGAGCTGCAACGCTACAAATAAATATATCAGGAACAATGACAATGACTAACGCAATCAAACTTGCAAACTATCATAATAATCATAATAAAAATTATGACCAGAAACTATTCAACGAGAGTGAAACTTCAAATAAGAAGTATCTTCCACATCGCCCTATGATGTTTTTTATAGAGAATGTTTAAGGACCAAAAAAGTGTGAATAACGTTTAAATTTTGCCTGTAGGCAATTAGTGTTAGTTGAATCCCTTGAATTACATACCTTCAAATACAAAATATGAATAAAAAACTCGTTTTAGTCCATTAACCAAGCTTGTCTTTTTTCAGTTATCGTACGTATTCTGTTGGATCTCAGCTACCACAATTATACTCCCCAATACCGTCAATCTCTATAGGAATGGTTTAATTTAATTATTTCTTAATTGTAAAATGCGTCACTATTGAAAATCGTTAATTTCACGCTCGAATCTACTGATATGGAGGTTTCATGTTTTACATGTCCATATTTAATTGCACTAGTTTTAGCTGTTCCAAATAGTTCAACTCGGCCGATAGCAAGCCTATTCACTGATGTAATATGTCAATGCCAAACNTCGTCTTTTTTCAGTTATCGTACGTATTCTGTTGGATCTCAGCTACCACAATTATACTCCCCAATACCGTCAATCTCTACAGGAATGGTTTAATATAATTATTTCTTAATTGTAAAATGCGTCACTATTGAAAATCGCTAATTTCACGCTCGAATCTACTGATGTGGAGGTTTCAAGTTTTACATGTCCATATTTAAGTGCACTAGTTTTAGCTGTTCCAAATAGTTCAACTCGGCCGATAGCAAGCCTATTCACTGATGTAATATGTCAATGCCAAACTCCTCGGTGTTATCTCAGAACACTGCCAATAACATTACAAGGCACATACAAGACAAACAGAATTAGTCTATCAGCCACTATGTGCCTTTTAGGATTGGAAAATAGCATTTAAAATGACGTCGCATATGAATTTAATCAATATATCACAAAAACATCAGATTTCTTATATGTTGTATTCAGAACCACATACCTGGCCCGCATTTGCAAATAAATCCATCGCTGCCGTTCCAAATGCACGAGCCTCCATTTTTGCAGCCCACGCTGACGCACCTGTCTACGTCACAGAGTTCTCCGGTCCAGGGTTCGTGCGGCTTACACTCACAAGAAAATCCCCTGGAATTTTAGTGAAAATCATATAAAACCATGATCACATAATCGCTAGACTATACAAATAAGGTAAAAATGTTCAAAGACAGAGAGTTTTAGATTTTTTAAAATCTGAATTCATCTGAAAGATTTTGTATAGCGTCTAATACTGAATGACGTAACTATTGGTCGACATAAGTCATATTTTGGCTAAGTATCTTCTAACATCTTTCGAGGAGATGAAATATTGTGTACCAAATTCTTCTTCACCTGCTAATGTTAAAATGACCTCTGGTTTATAAATGCATTACTTAGTCCAAATAATTTTTTTCAGAAAAATTAACTTTGTACTTTTGTCGACCTCGAACTGGCTATACTGTTTATGCCTAATGGATATCCTTACTTGGAATTGGTGGCGTCTTCTTTGCAAATGCCGCCATTTTTACAGGGATTGGTGGCACAGGGATTTCGCTTGTGGCAGAACTTGCCAGAGTATCCTGATAACAAAACAAAAATTAATAAATGAAGAAACAAACTAATATATAAAAAACAGTCATACAATCATAAAAAATACCACATATATCTTGAATCATATTTGTGCAAACATTTTATTTTTTGCGAGGGCTTTCGGGAAGATTAATGAGTGAAAGTATCTGGAGCGGCACAAAAAACCCTATTTTCAGTCATTTGTCGAAAAACTGCTTCTGTTAAAGGGATAATAACTCTTCGTTTCAGCCAAAAGAATTTTCCTGGAGTAAACAACAATTTTCCCATACTTACCAATGGTTAATGAATCCATTTTTACATTCAAAGTTAGTCCCTGTTTTTTTTTTCTAAAAAATTTGGTTTTTTTGTTAAAATCTCTTAAGAGATTATAACAGAGTATAGCCATCAATGGAGGTCATGTGGTCTGAAGACAAGCTCAGATATCAGAATAATAGCTATAACTGCTGTTTTTGTCGTAAAACAGAATATATTATATTTCTGTGAGTTATTCACAATCTTTTTATTGTGAAATATAGACCTCATAAGAAGAGTTATTATCCCTTTAAGTGTGATGTTACGCAATTTGTTACAGATCATCATTAAAGAAGGTATACAATAAAAATATATTAAACTATATAAGCGAATGTCATATAAAGCGATCATGCTCAGGGTGACACTGTGTTAGTTGTATGTATGACAGAAAATTGTATTTGACATTGCGTTAGGTAAGATAGCGCATTGTATTTAACATTGTGTTAGATGTGAAAGCGCATTGTGTTTGATATTGTGTTAGGTGTGACTGCGCGTCAAATGTTAAAACAGTGTGTTAGTTGAGACGGCACGTGAGATGAAAAAACAAATGTCAACTAACCCGGAGCACAAATACACGCAAAGTCAGGTCCGCCCATGGTAAGACAGATCCCGTTGTTCCGACATGGATACGACTTGCACGGGTCAGTCTTCTTGGCTAAAACAGTAACAATGTTCACACAACTAGGGAAAGAATTACACCACATCTACGGACAACGTTACATTGACATTGGACGGAACAAAACGGGAATTATTGTATCGGAACAGGAAAAAGTATAATTAAATAAATTGGTGATGTTTCTATTAATTAAAATAAACCTATACAAGAAAAATTAAAAGCTATACAACATGGGGCCTATACTCATATTATATATATTTCTGCATGTATACAGCATTGGCTTGGAATATAGGGCCTAAATGTATCATGACTGATTCAGTGCAAGTAACTGCTGCCTTTCAGTTTTGGTCTAGCCCAGGTATATGCCAGTTTGGACCGCTTTACATACAGAACTGACCTAGACAGCAAATTACGAGAAAGCCAGCTATTAAAGCAAAAAAAAAAAACAAAAAAAACAAAAAAAAAAACATTAAGATGCTTACGTAAACAGGTGTATCCATCGCCGGTATAACCTGGCAAGCACACACACTGTCTGGTCCCATTGGCGGTCTTACACTCGGCAGATGGCGGTGGTGAGCAAGACACGGCTTTCTTGGAGAGAGAAGCCTTCCCGTTGACCAGATTGCAGGTTATCTCTGTCTTGCAGTTGTCGATTAAAAGCTGGTCCCCAACCTTTGAATAAATGAACATACTTTACATTAGTCGAAATAGTTTCTTTAACTGTCTTTTGTATACTAAAAATAAAGTAAAGAAAGACGTCTCATTGGTTAAGAAACAAGTGAAGTCCCTTAAGAAACCACTTGGTATTCATGTCCTTTACAGTAAACAAACAGATAAATAAATAAATAAATAAATAATCGATGAAACTAATCGCCCCCAAGAACACATGCGGGTCCGAAAGTCATGAATCGTGTAAGAGGGTACATGTATCAAAGGCTTCAGTTCCCTTTACCAGGGGTCTTGGGGCACTTTTAGGCTTCGTTCACATGGAAAGTCTATTTTCTAAAAATCTATTTTCTATACGCGGTATCTTATGATCATGGTCTGTGCCCTGAATATCCCGCGGCGTAATTACTGGCAGCGCGAACCAGTTACTTAAAGTAACTTATAGTAACTGGCTCGCGCTGCCAGTAATTACGCCGCAGGATAATTCCATGATAGTGTCCCCTCCTCAACACACGCCATTAAACGGATTAAATGTTGGCTCTGAGGTTTAATTGCTAGGCTCCAGCATGGACGGCGCGTCTAGAGGCGGGGAGACCATCATGGAGTTAGCGGTATCGCATTTAAAGGCCATATTTAGCCAGCGGATCAGTTAGTCCTCGGATCATCTATTCTGAATGGCCCCAATGCGACCTAAAATAAACCAAAAGGCCCACTCTGGATTGCATGCGCAAACATCATATTACTTTGAAAATGTAGCAAATGTTACACTGCAACGTAATTGGAAAATTGTATTATTTTCGGAGGAGATTTAAACCAAAACAAACATTGTACTAAAAGGGAACCTACCTGATACGCATTCCCGTTATCCCAGCATTTAGGCACACAGCTAGCTGGCTTAATGCAATCAGTGCCGTCCAGAATTGTGCCCGGTTTACACACACAAGATTCTGGCACCATCTTAGTCGGGTCGCCGCAGTTCTGAGGGGCTCCCGGACACGTGGGTTGACACTCAGTGACGTTAGTCTGATATTCTTTGTCGGAGTCACATTTTTTCGCTGTGGAGTGAGGAAAATATTCCAAACATATCACATATGAGATAAAATTTTATATATTTACACCAAAGACGGAACCGTTCATTTTATGTTACTATTTTGGAATATCGCGGTTGACCCACCTTTAACAGCGCAAAACTTTGCTCCCAGTGTGCTCTTAATTGTCGCCAGAGCGTCAAATCCCGCCACTGTAAACACGTGGTCGATCTTTGGTTCGCTAGCAAGCTGTGTAATTTGCGGAATCGACACGTTACTTCCAATGCCTATAGTAAATATCTGAAAGTGCAATATGTTTCAGACGTTATTCTTTTTTAAGTATTCATTATGGGGTGTATTCTCTTAAATGAGTGCCAAAATTTAAAGGCACTCTGTACTCCTACCAATGCCTATGGAATATATCTGGAAGTAAAAGTGTCATTCGTTTCAGGCGCTATTCTTTTTTAAATGTTGGTTATGGGGTTTATTAGGTACAACAGTGACCATTATCTTGGATTCCTGTTGAAGTCTACTAGACACAGGTAGACGGAATGTTGAAATATATGACCTACACCGTACATAAGTCTCCAGTATGAGATTTAGGTGTCTTTCTTTATTCATAGTACATGTTCTATTTCAGGTGTGAAGAAAACAAAATTTTAATTGGGGGCTGATCTTACAGAAGAAAAAAAAACAGTGACGATGATTGTATGTGTATCCTCTTTAAACTCCTTGCTTTCTGTGCTCATGGATGACAAGATTGAGAAGAGGGGTCATACGCCTTTGCAATTAAAACGCACCTCTATACCATGACTGTTATCTTGGTTTCCTGTTGAAGTCTACAAGATACACGTAGACGGAATGTTGAGACACTGTACATAAGTCTCCAGTATGAAATTTGGGTGTGTTTCTTTATTCATAATACATGTCCTATTTCAGGTGTGAAGAAAACAAAATTTAACTCTGGGGGCTGACCTCCTGCTTTCTGTGCTCATAGTTGACACGATTGAGAAGACAAAGCACCCCCACCCCGGGGTTGGGGGGGGGGGGCTCATTCGCCTTTGCAATTTAAACGCACCTCTATTCCAGCTTTGGTGGCATTTGCTGCCGCAGATATTTGGCGCTGTCTCGACCTCCCATCGGTAAACAGGAACAACAAATTAGGCGCTGTGCTTCTGTCCCCTGAAGCTTTGGAAAAAGAGGTCTAGTAAAGAAAAAAAGGTATGTACTTTAGTTTCTCCAATCAATTTTGTAGTGAGCCATATAAGTAATTGTATTACTTTTCATCTCAGATTGGCATTCACATACTCACACACAAACATTTTTTCAGCATTTTAGTCAACAATAACAGTCATTTGTCAATTAAAGATTATCCAATTATAGATATTGTTTATTAGGTAACTTGCTTCGTCATATCAATAGCATAATTGAATTATTACATAATTTGGCAGATGAATTATTATTATTAATAATAATAATAATCATAATAAAATGAATAAATGAAACCCGTTAAGACAAAGTTGTTCCGGTTGCTCAGGAATTTTGATACGTTACCTGTTGAGCATACCACAAAGCCGCCGCAATGTTTGTCCGGCGGCCATGATAACTCATGTTCAAAATGGCGTCTGCAACGTCACGTGGTTTGTCGAATTCGTTCAAGGAAATACGCGGGTGTACAATTTGGGTAAAACTGAGAACTCCAACCCTGATCTTGTCTTGCGCCACGGGTAACTGAAGAACCAAATCTGCTAAAAACTTCTTCACTTTTTCAAAATTGATAGGCCCTACGCTTCTCGATTCATCAATGACGAACAGAACGTCCGCTTTGACATCCTTGCCACATTCTGTAAAAGAAGAATCGTAAAGGTACAACAAATACAATTTCTTTTACCAGTTAGCAACACAGTTTAAAGGCGAAAGCTGGTACAGAAAGATGATAGAATGGAACTCTCAAAAACTCCTTCAGTCGAGTCTTTCGGTCCAATAGACACATAACTTCACTTTGGAATACAATCATCTGGTATGCCTCATCGCAAACAGGTGCCTAGCGAACGGGCGGTGTAACTACATATCTATGTTGAAGAGTCTTACAAAAAATTCACGATCTGTATAGGACACCACAATCAACTATTCCGCCGCATTCGCATCCCTTAACGCCCTGTTTAACAAAACGACTAATTACCTCCGCCAAGGAGGTAGTTTTCACCCCTGCTTGTTTGTCTGTCATCATCATAACTCAAAAAGTTATGTTATGTTAAAATTTTCAGGAACTGTCGGAAGTGGGCCAAAGAACAGATGATTAGTTTTTGGTGGTGATCTGGATCAATAATCAATCAATAATGAATAATAATAAAAAAATTGCTGCCTTGGCGGAGGTCTGCGCTCTTGGAGTGCTTTTCTAGTCCACATTCGTTCTAAGCACAGACTGCTTAGAATTGTAACCAACTAAACTGCATTTCGAAAGAAATCTTAAATACCATATACTTTTTTCAATAAAACCAAAAGGCAAACCGTGACTGTATTGACTACAATATTTCACCAGATTATGTCAATTGCCAATTTAGAAAAGCCAAGCATATAAACATGTATTTAAATGCATGCACTTTTTCTTAAGGGAACCACATGCCACACGCTTTTAGAACTTTATCGCAATATCCACTCATACCCCGTTCACACTACAGTTCCAAAAAATGCGCATTTCTATAAACCGGTTTTTTCGTGGGAAATCCGATTCGGTTTTGCGTTCACACTGTAAAGTGGAATCCGCATCGGCAAAGCCAAAATCCAGGTGCAACTTCCTGCTTAGGCAATTGCGCATGCGCTGCATCGAGCAGTACGAAACATGGCGGCAATAGCTACATTTTTATTTCTCTGGAATTTTTTCCGCTTTCTTCTCGGAAAAAAAACATTGTAAAGCAAAGCAAAGAATACATGGACAACCCCGCGTATTTGGCACGCGTAGTAGGCTGTCTGAGAGAAGACGCAGACTGGAAGGGTTTCAAAGGAGGGCAAGAGTACCCGTATATATATATGTTGTTTTTTTATACATTCGTTTTACTTTAGTGACTGCAATTAATGCGGTTGATGTTTTTATCATGCAAGTCCACTGTAATAAACACGAATATTGGTTTATTTATTAAATTTTATAGTAAATTAAACAATTAATTACACAATGCATTTATTGCTATAGTCTCTTGTAGCTCCGTAGTTAATGCATGTAAGGGGAAGTTTTACTGTAATCTGTATCCATTTTGACATGGGCACCAGCGCCCACCACAACATATTTAATTTTTAGCGCGATATATTGTTTAAAATCATTTTGGAGCAATATATTTTACCTATTTTATTTTACTTTTAGATGAACCAGATGAATATGTTGGCAGTAACTTTACTACAGATGCCTAAGTCCCCGCAAGAAAACGCAGTAGATACTCCAGCGCAGTAGACTACTGCAATCATACTGCAAACATGCTTCAAATTTGCTTCGATTTGGGAGCTAATTAGCATATTTGAAACATGCTTCTATCATGCTGCTAATCTACTGCATTAATGCTCCTCTCTGTACAAACCTGGAGTAGAATTGCAGTAGGCTAAGCTGCATTTCTACTGCAAATATGCTCCACACCACTACTGCATTAATGCTTTTTTGCTACTTCGATACTACTACACAAATGGCTTTTAGGTTTACAGAGTATACATACAATGTGGAGATGCTCATTAGTTTCAGCTAACATCAAGAAAGATATCGCCTGTCATTAATTGCCAAGCAACTCAAAAGTGTTACTTAACATATTTTCACTCCCCGAATGAATTGACAAAGCGCATAAACAAATAATTATTTATTACTAGGAAGATATGAACGGCAGGTTACTTCTTTTTAGGTAAAACATTGGCTTCCTTACTAGATAAAAACGATGTTTATCTTTGAAATATGGAAAGAAATGCGTTACATGACTAAATAATAAAAGCACGAACAATTAATGTTTGGTAATTGAGAAGTAAAATAAACAAATAAATAGTCGCATGAGTATCATCAGGTCAAAAATGGCTGATAGTTCTAGTTTTAGCAGGCTGAGTAGGAATGCTTACATTACTGGTCTAGGGCATTCGACAAAAGGACTAATACTTACTTTCATCTTAAAATATACAAATATCGTCAGACTTACCACTTGGTTTAGCGGTAGACAAAGCTTTTATGGTAGTACTAATAGGCGTGGGTGTGGCTGTCTTGGGCGTGGTTAAAGGGGGCGTGGTCAGAGTGCATCCGGTTTCAACCCGCCAATCCGAGACGTTTGCCCCGTAAAGACTGACACACTCGTTGGCCATTTTCTCCAGGATTTTACACGCTAGGTGTTTAGCTTTAGCTACGTCTGGTAGGGACTTTATCACCAAATCCTTGCAACCATTTCTGAAGTTTAAAACAAAAGTTTGTAGCCATTCGTTACTAAAGAAAGTGACTTTGAAACAATCTGTATTGATATTACACCAAAAAGCTCTCGTTGTTATTGAACAGCTGTTCCAAGCACAAGACGGGTTTGTTGAACTTTCCGTAACACGGTCGAGAAATCTTGGTAGACACCAATACAAAATGTCACCTCACACTCACAACTTATTGAGGAACACCCATGCCAGCTGTCATTGAAAACTAAGCCACGCCCTTCCCAGCTGTCAAGCAACTGTGGCCACGCACCTCCCCTTGCCGCCAAAATACACAGACATCCTATTCTCTTACCGCAGGGGCCCCTACTGGTCTTTTACGAGAATTTTCAATTTCGAACAGGCTTTACTAGAGACCCCTGTTATATCAGAGAATACAGACATCCGAGCTTACCTAAAAAATGTGCTAACTGTAGGCACGCCCATGCCTGCTGCCGCACAACTATGGAAGCTCCTCCAAACAATCCCTTTATCTGTTATCCCACAAACGACTTCTGCATAAGTGTCTCTGTCTAAGGCAGCATTGCATTTTCCTGAATCAGATATTCAGATTGCAAATGCGTGAATTTAATTATTTCATAACCGAATTAATGATCTTTGTTGCCCAGATATAACCAACTAAAGGAAGAATTTGTTTCGATCTATCTTCCTCCGGGCGATTCGTCAAAAATGAAATAATGGATCAGATAACGTACTCAGGTCTTTCAAAGGTACATTATATGAACATTACAAATGTCGTTAAAAAATTATATATAAGATCAATATCTGTTGTAGGAAGCATTTGCATATGAACAAACCGTATCCTAATTCATCGAGCATTACGAAGGCAAGGCCCAGCACAGCCAATCTCCACAAGCGACCCATATTTTCACGTCGAGATGACGGAAATCGACAAAAATCACGTCGCCAAACGTCTACAAAAACAAAAATAAAACTCGGTCTAGTTTCTGTTGGAAATAACTTCAATCTTCTTTCACTAAATCCCGCAGACAGCCAGGTCTATTTCTGGGCTGGATTTATTTCCAGGCCTTGTAATTTTGGCGACCGTTCCCAGACCCTATCGAACTATAACTAGACCGATCTATCTCCAAGGGGATTCTTGCTAAATTGCAATAAACTTCAGCAGCTTAAATGTCTGTCACGCCTACTGAAGCTGTTAGGGGGTAATTAATTATCGTTTAGCAGCTTCAGTAAACGTGCCAGACATCAAAGCCACTTAAGCTGAAAGCAATTTAGCGAGAAACACCTTGGAGATGGATCGATACTGTTAGATCAATCTAGGTATGGGAACCCAGTCTAGATCGTGACATCAAAGCAAACTAACGTGCCCTTTTAACGATACGTCTAAGGGGCAGGTCGAGAACGTTTATTTTAGCTGATATTTTTCTATATTTGGTTCAGTTTGCGTTCACCAATGTTTACTATAGCTGATATTTTTCTATTTGATTTCACCAATGTTTCGGGGACATGTCACATATTATCATAGAATACATGCGCAGTTTTAGTGATTTAGTGATAAGTTTTAGTGATAGTTAAAATACAAGGAACAGACGAGGATAAAAGTACTCACCATGGCCAGTAACATTACATTTACTACATGTACGCATATTCTAGGCTGAAGACATCGGCATGATTACGTCATTATATATTATACATTGGTGAAAATTTCGGTAAAAATTCCTACGCGTTGAAGACAGTTCAAAAATTTGTTTTGCATGTTATCCCACTGTCCCTTAAAGGTGATGCGATATCTAGCAATTATCTACGTGGCTTAAACATACTTAACACGGTTATCACCCCCCCCCCAACTGCATGTTTTGTGCACATACGCTGAAGATTTTTATATATAATAAATAAAACATAAATTAACTGATAATGACAGGGTTTTTTTCTGATAGGAGTGGGCCCTTTACGTTAACGGTATAAAGGTAGGGCCAAAATAACAGTTTGATTAAGAGCGAACATTGTTCCGGTCAAAAGGACAGTCATCGAAGGCTTCTAACCGTGAACTACACACAGCTCAGACAGGCCGTAGCCGGCAATTTCAAAGGGGGTCGCTTGTTTTTAGACTAAGTAGACATTTAACCCTGAAAAATTAATTCACTTAGAGCAATTTGCAAGCTGTATCCTGAGAGGATCTTTTTCCCAGGAAAAAAGGTGGTTTGTTCGCCCCCCCCCACCCTCACCCCGAAACATCCCTGGGCTACATGCAGCGGCTGTTTGGGTTGTATTGTATTCATGAATGTTTTATTATTATCCCATGTTTTACCTTATAGTTACTGTATGGTTGGGGATATTTATTATATAACCCCCTAGTGACCAATGATATAAATCTATTGAATTAATATCAATATGTAGAGAAAAACAAATGTCATTTTCAAGAAAGAAGGGATTATATATATTGATGACAGTTGAGTTCGACAACAGCAAGTCAGGCAATTAAGGTCAGAGCAAATAGCTTACCTAAGTAGTATGTTATGCACCGTTCAACCAACTTTTTTCTGAAAATTTCAATGTAACTATATGGCACAAGAAAGAGGTACAAAATGAGGTGTAAGCAGCCACGCACTCAAGCTGACCGCACAGGGTGTCTGCGGTCTTATCATAATAGGGGATTTGCATGCGCGAGCTGACCTAGTTGCCCGCACAGAGTGTCTGCGTTCTTATCAGAATAGGGGATTTGCAAGCGCGAGACCTAGCATGTGTTAAGCATTATCAAATATTTGACAAGCACTGTATATCAGTTAGGCATGGGGAAACATTACCCTGGTTATCAAAGGTTTGTGTATGTTATGCACCGTTCAACCAACTTTTTCTGAAAATTTCAATGTAACTATATGGCACAAAAAAGAGGTACAAAATGAGGTGTAAGCAGCCACGCACTCAAGCTGACCGCACAGGGTGTCTGCGGTCTTATCATAATAGGGGATTTGCAAGCGCGAGACCTAGCATGTGTTAAGCATAATCAAATATTTGACAAGCACTGTATATCAGTTAGGCATGTGGAAACATTACCCTGGTTATCAAAGGTTTGTATTGTGACGCGGTAAAGTAAGCAACACAAATATTTATCATAAAAAGTGTTTCTTTTTTTATTTATCAAAGTCGTTGGTGAGGCGTTGCGAGCAACGTATGATATTGTTGATTCATTGTTATACTCCGTGTCTTATATGACTTTATTAATATAAAAAGAATGTCCAAATCATATTGGTTCACTAAAGTATATATATGGATGATTTAACACGTAAAGTCTGAATAATGCATTGAATATGACAATTAAATACATTTACTTTACAGTTCATAGATACGATTATAGCAATTTTTCAAGGTGTCTTCAGCACATTGGAAGCCATCAGCTGCTGCAATCACTTCATGTACAAGTTGTTCGCGGTTTTGAGCAACGCGCTCAATAATGGCGAAAATGTATGGATCATCTGCTACCCCTTTAGTAGAACAATACAGCTCGTATGCTCGCAGTATGACGCTGTTTTGGATATGTTGAAATGCATCATCAATAAACTGATACACTGAAATCGACCACACCGGTTCAAGGCAGGCATGTTGGCGCTGGCTAGGGTGTTCGATCTCGCAGCCATTACAATTTTGACTACGCAGTTGCACTATTTTCCTCGTGAGAAAATAGGCGTAAATCAGGCGAATGACGGAAGTGCTCGTCGAGGCATCATCTTTTTCTTTCTTCTTATCTAAGTTTGCATCGATTTCTCGGAACAGTCGCATAAACGCCGACCAATCTGCATACGCCATTTCAATGACCGTGGGGGTGGCATCACCCAGCGCGTAGCTAATCTTAATCGGGGATCCGGAACCATCTGAAGACAAGTTATAGCCATCGCAGAAAGGAATTGTTGAAACTTGCTCTTTCAGCAAGGCCTCTTCAAGTTCTGCTGCGTGTGTTTTGAACTGGCCCCATACGATCGAGCTAAATCGTATTTTGCATTTCGCCTTGTCCGTCAACACCACCAGTAACTCGCCATGTCGGTTATGGCAGACTGTTGCGCAAAATGATGCACCGAAGGGTAGAAATGTGGCCATGGCTTTCGGATCAGTCTATGCACATCTGTGGGTTTTTTGGCCTATATATACAGGAAGAAAATCGCTGAGTCACGGAACTGAAACATTCTGTGATATAATATCTATTTGATTAGCTACTTTTGTAATCCATCAGACACATTCTGTTACATGGTATTAAGATAGAACTGGAATTTTCCTATCATGGCCGGATTTCACCGGTTTTGGGATATTCTCTCTCTAATCTGATATTCACGCCTGGAACATTTTATTACATAATATTTTTTCTTCTGGAAAAGTCTTAGTCACGAAACTAGAATATTCTGTTTTGATAAGTCACACTAAGATGGAGAAAATGCCGACTCATTTTGTTTCGCTGTATATAATAAATAGTCCGAGATGTAAGGGACTCCAGTAGGCAACTGTGTAGACATGGATCACTCAGAATTATGGCAGAGCTGTATTTCTGACAGTGAAATGGTTGCACATTTAGAAAAATACGAAAGACGGCAAGGCTTTGAACACCAAACTATAAGCGATGGTGAGCTGGCTGAGTCTTCTGAACAGAGCGCTAAAAAACAAAGGTGAGAACAAACACGTGATAGAAAACTATTATAAAGTGTCGCGTTTTGCTTTGCAAATGTCAGTAATCACCATGGGTGACGTGAGGTTTAAATCGCCTAGTACGATGATTGTTTCTGGACCGACAAAATGCGGGAAAACTGCTTGGGTGAAACGTCTTTTGCTAAACGCCGGTGAAATGGTATCTCTGCCGCCTGATAAAATATTCTATTTCTATTCGATCTGGCAACCCGTTTTTGCTGAAATGGAAGACACCATTAACAACATAAAATTTGTAAAAGGCATACCTGTTGACTTTCAACCTGAGCACTTTTTTTGATGCAAATCTAAGCAATCTGGTCATTTTTGATGACTTATTCGCAGAAGCGGGGGGTGACATTAGAATACGCGATTTGTTTACCAAAGGCTCTCATCATTTGAACGTCAGCGTAATATTTATAATGCAAACATTATTTCCAAAGGAAAAGCAAGCCAGAACAATCTCTTTGAATAGCCACTATATCGTGCTTTTTAAAAACCCAAGAGATATTCTCCAAGTACGAACCTTAGCCACACAAATGTACGGGGAAGCAAGCGGCTTTCTTGGCGTGTTCAAACAGGCAACAGAAAAACCAAACGGTTATCTACTGATCGATTTAACCCAAGATTGCCCAGACGAGATTCGTTTGAGAAGTAGTGTATTTCCGTGAGAGACGCAAGTTGCCTTCCTGCGTGCTTGACACAAATATGTGTATATCTTTTTACTTTTCATGTATGCACAGTTAATTGCTTGATTGACATTGGAATAGTCATATACTTTGTTCACATTTTCTTTGCTGTTGGTGACAAGAAAAAGAAAGATGTTTAGTTTAGGGGGTGAATTTGTCAATTACAGTAAACTACTTAGAGCTGCAGAAGAACCAGGGTCATCTCCAGTCAGATTAGAATTGAGTCAAACTACTTTTAATCAGCATCGAACTCCAGCTTTGTATACCAACCATTCTGGTGGTGCCACCGGGAGTGATATATATTGGCAAAAAACGAGTGAAAGGTATAATGTCAAGACAGTTGTGTATTCATTCTCAGGCCACGCTACAAGCAATCCTTACAGAAAAGTTTTGAATAAAAAAGAACTAAAAGATGCTAATGAGCATTTGCTTAAAGCCAACAAGTCACTGCACAGAAAGTTTCCCACGGGCAAGACTTTTGTCGACAGTTTACTTCAACGTAACTGGTATCAGGTGAAAAATTCCGATGTTGTTTTTGCTGTTGGAAAAAATATCATGAACAAGATGGTTGACGGTGGAACAGGGTGGGCAGTGCAAATGGCAGTAGACAAGAATAAACCCGTCTATGTGTTTGACTCTTTTAAAAACGAAAGGACTGGGATGGAAGAAGGGTCATGTCAATGGTACAAGTTTGATTTTGTAAGAAAAATGTTCAAATTATATCCAGATGTGCCAGAACTCACATCTCCTTTTGCAGGAATTGGCACTCGTGCTTTGACAGATAAAGGGAAATTTGCCATAGAGGGGGTATTTGAAAGAACCTTTAAATGTAAATGAAGATTTTTCTTTGTTTCTTTACGCAAATAAACAATTGGTGTGTATAAATATTTTCTTTTAAACATGCACAGCTATTTTGTTGATGGACCTCGAAATAGTCACAATACATATATCTGGAAGTTAAGTCATTGACTATAAATGCTTGTGCAGCCTCTATCTTGACTTAATTGTAACATGAAAGCCGGGACCGAAAAGTTATTTCATTTTCATGTCAAATTGCTCTCAGTAGCCGATAAGAAATTGATACATGGTATAATACTAAACTCTCCCTATGATCTGATTCGAATCCTGTGCAACTTTGCTGCTAATATACTGTATAACAAGGATATCAAGCTGAATTTAACAGAAAAATCGGCACTACGCAGAGTTAAACACGTCGTTGTACAACTGGCTGATAAAAAAGTCTCCATACAGTCCAAGAAAAAACTTTTGTTACGACACCCTCCTGTGGTCAAAGCAATTTTAAATCCGATATCAAGAAATGTCAAGCTTTCAGAAAATGGTCTTGATAAGTGAATCTGAACTGAACGCCTTGAAACAACAAGTCAACAGATATTACTCTCCCTTACAAGAAGAGACGCTACGATTGCAAAATGAAATGACAAAGACTATGCAAAGAACAGATATATCTTTTGACGAGAAAATGAAAATGTACAACGATTTGCAAGTTCAATATTTGAAGATTGCCCGAAAAAAGGAGCCGGTTGCTGTAGTTATTCAGAATACACCAGCCCCTCCCCTACAAACCGCATCAGCAACAATGGACAGTCCACCCATTAAAACAGAAGACTTCCCTAAAAAAACATATTTCAACCAAGAAATATTGGATTCCATCCCACAAAGGATGCAAAAAAAGGCTAGGATAGTGCTTAGATACATGTCTAACAACCCTAATGTATTGTCCTATAATGAACAAGGGTTATTAAAATACGATGGGAATGTTATAGAAGGCACCAACATTGTAGATTTGATGAATGATCTTTTCGTGTCACGTAAAAAGTATACGCCAGCTGGGCTTTCTGTCTTTCTTCAGGGTTTGAAACGTCTAAATGTACCTTTAAATACTATTTCGAACATAAAGCGACGGCACCAGATTGCGGATGGAGACACTTCCTCTGCCAAAAGTCAGATAGGTTCTGGGAATTTTCTAAAGTTGGCATCATTCAACATATATTGAAGCAACACACACTGTTGTACATGTAAACCATTCTTTATTTTAATTGAATAAACGTATCTAATACATGAATCCTAAATATTTTTTTGATTTACAAGTTTGACAATTCATATTTACAAAGCTGGGTATAATGCAACGCTTATTAACATAATCATACACTAACATATCATTAAATTGTTTATCTTTTGTAAAACTTCTAAGTATTTGTGCTAAAGGTTTCCCACGAGAACGGTTCATTAAATAATATATACAGTATTGACCACACACTTTAGTGTAAATGCTCTGTAGTGCTCTAGAATTACACGTCCATGCAGTTGTAGAGTTTTCATCTAGAAAACTTTCGAACATTTCATCATAATAATCAGGAGGTTGCCCGTAAGAGTCAAAAAATTCTCCAACCCCATTTTCGTTGAAGTGAAAAGCGACCCAATGTCTGCCAGGACCCGTATGTTTATCTGTATTTGACACAAAACAGGCGGGAAATATCTGAATTTCCTTAGGCAACGTGTCAGATGCGTATACTCCTTGAAAACAGGCACTCGTAAAAGGATCAGAGTTTAGTATGCAGTCCAATTGTCGAGTATCCATCATCAATACTCAATGTAAACACTGCGACGTTGATCAATCTTTATAACAGAATCAAATTCTGCCAAAACAACCAAGACGCTGTTGTTGGTGGCTTTATCAAATTCTAGATTAATGTTGAGTGTACCTTGTCTTGTTGGTGAAATATAGTTTTCAAAGTTTTTGTCTGCTGTCAGATCGAAGCCAAAAAGCGTGTTTCCATACAGGTAATCAAGTCTAGACAGATCTATATCACTCTCGCCACCAGCAGCGCCAACTGACAAAAGAAGGTCGTAATAAGCTCTTATATAGTTCAAACCTTCGTTGACGGAAAAATCAAAATTATAAGGCTTGAATGGAATTTGCTCCCCTGCCACCGTTAGTCGCAAATGCTTTAAATCATTATGGTTAAATAAGAAAGGGCTTTTGTCATAGACTCCCGAAAAGGCATTATCGTCAACAATTCCAAAAATGATACGTTTCGGCATAGTCCCTATGTAAATATTATCAAGATTAGCATTTCTGACTCCGTTAGGCAAATTTATAACCTTTACTTCTTTTCTTGTAAGAGGATAGCAGGCTACATGTTTGGTCAATATACTGTCGTGGGCCGATTTCAGCCGATCGGATACTTTGACTCTCCTCACAAAAAGAGAGATGTTGTTGATCAAAAATTTTTCATTTTTGTCTTTGGTTTCTGACATCAAACAGAATGCATCGGGTGTTCTTCTTAGCCTGATTCGCACGTCTACGTTGTTCAAAAGTAGTTTTTCTTGATTTGCCAAATCGATTTTCAGTCGACCATACTTCTCCACTTTCCTACTACGCTGAAACCAAAAGTCGCGATCTTGTAACCTCTTGTTTCCAGGGTCGCCACTAACATTTGTACTGTTCATTTGACCGGCGGTGTCTTTATACCACATTTCGCTAGTAAGCCATGTATCTTTTGCACTTTTTCCGTAGTACAATAGGTTTTCAAGGTAGGCTCGGTAAGCATAATTTTGACCAAGGGTTATCAAATTGTCGTTAAGCTCAACGTCCACTGATGCAAATAATGAGTGAAGCGTGTTGTTCACGACCGATGTGTTTTGACCAATGTCTAAACTGCTCAAGTCAGCCTTACTGAGCTGTCCCTCTACATACAAGTTAATTTGAGTGGGGTCGATATATTCGTCAGGTGTGCCTTTGATGACAAACTCAAAGACACTGCTGACCTGTGACACAGCAGTCGTCGGTCGAATTTCCTCATCTACAGTGCTTTCAATATCCGTTTGATAATGATCCCTAATATTGGTAAATAAATCAAGTTCTGTTTTTACAATTGGGTCGTTCATGTCTAAAAATTTTGTATCTCGTGTCTTGACTGAAGGTGACCGATGTGTCTTGCGAACTTTTGGACTTTTGACCACTTGAGGTGATCTGTTCTTCTTTATAGTCATGGAGTTTAAAGCTTTTCTTATGACGTCACCATCCACGTACAGGTCAGGTGCACCTCTCTTTTTAGGTTTTCTTTTCACAGCCATGTTCTTTTTTGAAGCAACAGTTTTATGCACTTGCAGTATTTCAGCACGTCGAGGTGGATGTAACCTACCACCACCCCGTTGAATCCTTGTACCATGGAACTTGTGTATAGAGCCACCACCCGCCTGTGTCTCGTATCTTTTAACTAGGGCTTGATAAACGGGATCCATTGTTACAGTAACCTTTTTCGGCGAAAATGTAACGTCGCAATCCTCTTCCCACTATCGAAATGCACAAGTTCACCCGTGTCGCGACATATATCTATTCGAATGGTATCGATGTGATGTTGATTCAAAGGGATGTAAATAGGCGAATCAAATGTTTTGGTAACAACTTCCTCACGTTTACCATTGACACCAACGATCTTCAGTAAATTTGCAGACGCATCCCCCACCAACTGATTTTGTATGATATCCGCGTATACATATAGCGAATTAAAGCCTAGAGTCATGTTGGGAGGGTTAGGAGCCATCACGTCTGAAGTTACCCTCGTGTCCGTTACCCAACCTAACATCTTTCCTACATCACCGGTAAAATTGATACTTGCACCGGAACGTAAATGAACTGTAACTCGTCTCGATATAATATTATATCCTAGTGTGATGTTTGTTTTTCCAACAGTTGATAGGTCATCGTGGATTGTAGTTATGAGGTCATTGATGGTTCGATAGTATCCAGCAGGGATAGACAATGTATTTGTCGTCAGTCCATCATAATACATCAGAGCACTATCTTTTAGATTTTTCCATGTTTTTGGATATTGAAGTTCCACTAAGGCAACTTCGTAGTCACCATCTAAATATAAGGTTGACGACAACTTTGTTTGAAATGACTCAGCTTTATTCTTTGGAAAATACTTAAAGCTGCTGTTAGAAGGTAAGATAACATGAAAAGACGAGGCCATCGCTCAACTGAAGCTCCGGGGAAAACGAAATATCATTTATACCGTTTTAACGTCTGATGCCTTGATCCAACTGTTAAATTTTTCTGGATAACCTCGCCATTTTACAAAATGTTCCCTCGATTTACCCTTGCCTCTTGATTTTAAAATTTTTTCGACTGTGTACACGTCGTCTTTCTTCACAACACGAATCATTTCAGGTTCGTAGAAGACACCCTCTATCTCTTCTCCTTCGTAATCTTCCACCTTGTAGACGGGCGGTGACCTGTTTAAACGCTGCGTTATTGTAAACAACTCCTGTGTCCAACCCTGTTCGTAGCCTTTGGCAAATGGAGTTCTATACTTGCTCAACCTAACAGTGTCTCCAGTGTTGAATTTAAACTTTGCTTTTTCGAATATTGTATCCCCGTAAAGGTTTTTCCACACCACGTCTGAGTTGTTTTCTTTTGACGCTTCTGTTGGTGACATACCATGCTCCTGTGTTTAGCTGCATTGTATCCCTTCAAAAGTTGGTCGAGTGCGTATAAATATGTAAGTGTACTGTTGGCGGTGAAATATTTGTACATGCGAGATTTTAACGTTCTGTTAAACCTTTCGACTATCGAACTTTTTCGTTCCGACTTTGTTGTGAAAAAGGCTATTCCTTGTTCCTTCAGGTATGCCTGAAATTTTTTATTTGTAAATTCTGTTCCTGCATCGGTTTGTAAAATTGCCGGTTTTCGGCCTTCTGATAAAATATTATTAAACGCTTCCAACACACTATCAGCAGTTTTTGATTTGATGGCCACAGCCCATGCGTACTTTGAAAAAACATCAATCACAGTTAACAAATATTTCATTCCTTTATTGTATTTTGATAATTTACTGAGGTCAGCTAAATCTGCTTGCCATTGCTGATCTGTACGACCAACAACAACACGATTGGTATGGAATCTTTTTCTGACGTTAGCGTGTAGAGTATATGTATCTTGTTTCGTCAAGAACTCTTCGATTTGCATACGGGTGATCTTCTTTTTAGCTTTTCTCGCCGCTTCATATAATTTCAATGCACTACCAAAACTAGCAGGGTTGGAAGGGTCGTAATATAATGTCCTTAAATATTCATCTATCTGTTTCTTACTATTACTGCTTGTTTGTTTTGTCTTCATCTTACTTTTTTCAACTGTTTCCAAGAAGGCTAAAGTATGTGTTTAAACAAATATCTTTAAAAGAGTCTGTACGTTTTTTGAGAAGATATCCCAGAATTTTTATCCACTTCATCAAAGTTTATGTTCAACAGTGTTTTCACCGTACTGCCTGTGTAGTTAGATTTTTTTTCGTTGGCGACAAACAGCTGCACAAATTCGTGGCGCTTTTCAGGTTTGAGAGGGACGTTTAGTGGATTCGTAAGTCTCTTTTCAACGGTATTCATAGTACACTGCGGACTGTGGTCTTCATGCTCTTTATCAGCGGCATCCCTCAGTGGATCCCAATTCTTTAGACTGACCCGACAGTTGAAACAATTGACCGTGTCGTCTGTACTTGATACAATGGGGTCCCTGTAAAACCGGCTTATGGCTTAAGGTATAGGGTTGATGAGAAGTTTACCAGGCCAGTTAAGAAAACTAAGAATCCTCTCTTCTTCCTTACAAAAAGGTACTTGAAAAAAGAAAGGCTTGTCATCAGGAGCACAGTCCTCGAATACTTCACTGTCGTCCATCACTTATGAAACACTTGCTTTTACCGACAGTATTTATCAAGGACAAAGCCCAATCAGAAACCGCTTTGTCGGACAAGATCCAATCACACACAAAGAGTCATTTTAACCAACTGTGTTGTTTTGCGGTGTTATTATAATAGTCTGTATTTAACTCTCATTTCAGACCGACAGAGACCATGAGACACTACAAATGCAATGTTTGTGATGCGTCTTTTAATGGTGCCCGTGACCTAAAACACCATCGGCTCAGCCACACGACAAAAAAAGAGGTGGCGTGCCCCGAATGCGGAAAGACCTTTACTCGTCGGGATAACATGAATAGGCATAGACGCCTCCACCAAACGCGAGATCCGGGGACCTCGGTGAGTTCGAACAAAAAACGCTCGACGCCCGAGTCTTCTAACCAATATGCAACCGCCGCCAAAGTCCCTAAGACCCAAACGGGATCAGGAGCTGCCTTTTCATCTGACCACGTCGTCATGCCTGACGATCTTCTACCCTCGGACGTCGACCCATCAGTCGCTGAAGCGTATGAAAGTCACTGGAACAGCATACGGACCAGATCCTCGAGGGGTAACAAACTGCAAGACTGGTACAATGTTAGATTGACCACCCTTCAACCCGACGCCCTTCGAAACGTCCTGGAGCAGATTTTGGAAGACCAACGCACGGCCTTTAAGATCAACGTGTCGTACGGTTTTTTTCTCCGAAACAACGAGACTGGGCAGCTGAGGTACTACCACCCCAGCAGCAACAACCATTGCTTCTTAGAAGCGCCCGCTGTGATCCGCCACCGCCAAGATCTCGATGGTTTCTTCCACAGCATGACCACAAGAGATATTTTAGAATGTGCTCGACAGGAGCGGCCAAATTCGAAGTGGGTGGTAGACAGGGTAACCAACGCCACGTTTTACGTGACGAAGCTTAAGGGCCACCCCATTGGTTGCGGGGTCGACCTGCCGTCTTATGTGCTACACAACAGGGGTCTCGTTGCCCTGCAAAAAACCACACAAATGGAAAACCATACCGCGACAATCTTTGCCTCTTTCGATGCCTCGCCTTGCACAGAGGTTCGTCCCTTACAGCTCTCGAAAAACTGACGAAGAGACTCTTCAAAGAATATACCACAGGCAAACGAAAACGCAAAGGTTTCCAAAGCGTGGCGCTCCATCGACTACACAAGGTGGAAGACCTCTTCGAGGTAAACATTGCCATGTTCGAATTACAGCAAAACGAAGAGGGTGATGTGTTTCCAGAACTCGTTCGTCGTTCGACTGACAAGTACAACGACACCATGTCGCTGAACGTGCACAAAAATCATTTTTCATACATACGCAACGTGAACAAATGCACTCAGTCGTTTTGCTGTTCGAGATGCAGCAAAATGTTTAAGCACAAAGGCATGCTCCAACGCCACGAACGGACCTGCGACGTCCTCGTCGAGCACCGTTTTCCTGGCAAAGCATACACTCCTCCGCAAACCGTTTTCGAAGAATTGGAAGAAGAGGGCATATGCGTCCCCGAGAAAGACAGGTATTACCCGTATCGGGCGACGTTCGATATTGAATGTTTGCTGCAACATACCGAAGAGCCTGAAAAAAGCGAAAAACTGCAGCTGGAGCGCGAACATCGGTTTCTTAGAGTCAGCGTGTGCAGCAACGTCCCCGGGTACACCGAGCCAAAATGCATTATTTCTGATGGCGAGCCGACGTTAGCTGTGCAATTGTTCGTCAACACCTTACAAAACATGAGCCACGCAGCCGAAAAGCTTCTAAAGGACAAGTTTGCCTGGGTCTTTGAACAACTTGATGAAAAAATAGAAAAAGACATCAACAAAATTATACAGGAAAGCGAAGACGAAGGCGAAGATGGTGAGGCCTTAACCAAAAAGCATTATCTAACCAAACTTAGCCGTAGATTTAGTAATTATTTAATGGAATTGCCCGTCTTAGGTTTCAATAGCGGGCATTACGATCTCAACGCCATGAAAACGTTGTTTTTTCCGTTGTTGGTGAACACCTTGAAACTTGTGGTAAAACGCAACAACAACTACATGGTGTTGAAATCGGAACGCCTACAACTTTTAGACATTTGTAACTATTTAGCTCCCGGATGCAGCTATGGTCAGTTCCTTAAGGCGTTTGAGTGCACGGAGTCCAAGGGGTTCTTTCCCTACGAATGGATGGACTCTTTGGACAAACTGGAATGCCCTCACCTCCCTTTCCGCGAAGCGTTTTACTCCAAATTAAAACAAAGTAATATCACAGAGGAAGATTACGCGGAGTGCCAACGCGTGTGGGTAAATAACGGTATGCAGACAATGCGCGATTTCCTCGAGTGGTACAACAACAAAGACGTTGAACCGATGCTGGAAGCGGTGGCAAAAATGTTCGCTTTTTACGAAGAAAGGGGTATCGACATGTTTAAAGACGGCATCAGTGTGCCGGGTTTAACTTTGAAATACCTCTTTCAAAACGTAGGAGATGCATTCTTTACCCTTTTCGACGATAAGCACAGCGATCTTTACTACCTTCTAAAAAATGCTATCGTAGGCGGTCCCAGCATCATCTTTCATCGCTACCACGAGAGGGATAAGACCTTTCTTCGAAAGGCAACTTCTGAAGTGCCCAAGCTGTGCAAAAAGATCGTCGGGTACGACGCCAATGCCCTGTATCTGTGGTGTTTGATGCAACCCATGCCTACGGGCACTTTTATCCGCAGGCGCGAGGAGTCTGAATATACACTCGAATATTCTCATCCACGGGGTCGCGAGGCCACGAAGTGGTTAGACTGGGTTGCCCGTTCAAACAATATGCACATTAGGCATCAGTTCAACGGCACGGAAGAGCGCATCGGGTGCCGTCGGCTACCAGTGGATGGATTTTGCCGGAGACGCAGACCGTGTATCAGTACCAAGGCTGTTATTTCCATGGTCATCGGTGCCATCTTAACCAAAACAAAGATGGCAATTATAAAGAAATAAACGACACAAAAGAGGTGACCATGGAATCTTTGAGAATCGAAACTGAAATTAATAGCGAGTACATTCGGGATTGCGGCTACAATCTTGTCGAAATGTGGCAGTGTGAATGGAAAAAACTGCAACTTGAAAGTGAAGAAGTAAGGCAGTTCGTGAAGCAGTACACGCTTCCCACCGAACACAGGTATCGGCTCACGTTCAACGAGATCCTAGATGCAATTCTCAACGATAATCTGTTTGGATTCGTTGAGTGCGATATAGAAGTTCCGCTCGAAATAAGATCAAAATTCTCCGAAATGCCACCCATCTTTAAAAACACTACGATTACCCGAGACGACATCGGGTCGTACATGAAAATTTTCGCGGAGGAAAATAAAATCATGAGCGTCCCGAGACGTTCGTTGGTTGGGAGTTTTTTCGGCGAAAAAATCGTTTTGGCAACCCCGCTGATAAAATGGTACTTAGAACACGGTCTTCGCGTGACGTGTATCCATCAAGTAATCGAATACACCCCGAAGGCCTGTTTCAAGCTTTTCGGAAACGCCGTCAGTGACGCTCGTAGAGAGGGCGACAGGGACAAGACAAAAGCTATTGTCGCTGACACCATGAAGCTCATTGGTAACTCGGGCTACGGAAAAACAGTGACCAACAAAGAAAGGCACCGCGACACCAAGTATTGTGGCGAGGCAAAATCTTCCCAAAAAGTCAACAGTCACCGTTTTCGACGTTTAGGTCAAATTACAGAAGAGGTGTATGAGGTTGAATTAAACAAAAAAATCATCAAATTCGACCTTCCTCTACATATAGGCGTGATGGTGTATCAGTACGCCAAGCTACGCATGCTAGAGTTTTACTACGACTTCATGCTAAAATTCGTGGATCCGTCCGATTTTCAATACTTTGAAATGGACACGGATTCCGCTTACATTGCCTTCTCGGCGGACAGCTTAGAAGACGTAGTAAAACCACACATGAGAACACAGTACAGAGCCGAGAAACACCTGTGGTTTCCGCGCACTGATACCCCAGAGCACGAGGCCTATGACAAACGGACGCCCGGGTTGTTCAAAGCCGAGTGGGTCGGTGACGGAATCGTTGGTTTATGTAGTAAGACATACTATTGTTTTGGGGAAGGCACCAAACCAAAATTTAGCTGCAAAGGGATCAATAGGAAATGTAACAATATCAACGAACACAAATACTTAGATGTACTATTAAACAAAGAGAGTGGCAGCGGTATCAATAGAGGGATGCGTTTATTTGACAACACTATGTATTCTTACGTACAAAAAAGGGACGCCTTTAGTTATTTCTACTGTAAAAGAAAAGTGTTAAACGACGGAGTGTCTACTGAACCCTTGGATATCTAGTGTCATCAAATAAATAATTGTTGCTGCGAAGTTTACTTTGTTTTCAATAAATATTCTTCAAATAAAATATTCGTAAAAGTTGCTGTTGCGTTTTCTGTGTTAGTGGGTAGCTTAAAATAGCAGAACATTCCTGAAAATCACTAAAAGCTCGCGTTAAATGTTTGTGTTGCTTACGTCACAATATCAACCTTTGATAACCCGGTTATTGTTTCCCCAGGCCTTAATTGATATACAGTGCTTGTCAAATATTTGATAATCCTTAAGTCTCGCGCTTGCAAATGTCCTACTTTGATAAGGAGATAGAGACGCGATGCGGCCAACTAAGTCAGCTTGAGAGAGAGGCTGCTCTCACCTGAATACACCTCATTTTGTACCTCTTTTTTGTGCCATATAGTTACATTGAAATTTTCAGAAAAAGTTGGTTGAACGGTGCATAACATACTACTACTCTCAACCAATACATAAGTTCTTAAGCGAATAAAATTTATTGATCCGATATTAGGATATAAATGTAATGCTGCCATTACATCAGCTTTCAGAATATCTAATTTTGGACCAAGGGTATTCCCGTTACAAATACCCAGTTTTGTTGTTTGTTGACACATAAAGTCGCAAGGTGCACGTGTGTAAACACTGGGGATGGAAATGTGGCCTGTTTATTATCGGGCAATTGTTTGCATTTACAAAATGTTAAGTGGTATAAAGTAAACATTCAGTCGTGTTTGCATGGAATTTTATGTGAAAAAACGGGGAGTTTTCTGACGGCGGTTATTCTCAAACAAAATTTCCACGGCTGAACACTTTCGATTTCAATATGGAATACCCAGTACATAAGGAAGTTCTAGCTTTCCTACTTTTTTCTGATCTCCCCTAGAGATATGAAATCCGTTAACGAGATATTGATCAAGTCGTTTGATGTTTAACCCAGGTTACTGTTACTATACTGGAGAAACTATGACTTTGCACTTCAAAATAATCTCTTTTAAAAGGGCGTAGGCCCTACATGTCGGAATGTGCACAATCATATAGAGACGGGAAGGTAGGGATAGCACAAATCAATACATATCGGCGAACGGCAGCACCTACTGCATTTGATATATTTGCCAAGCGAACTTATGGAGCAAAGTTGAGAACCTATAGTGTGTAGGGTGGGATATCTTAAAGAGGGATTGGATTTTGAGGACCAGGCGAGTTTCTGTGGTCAATGAATCTCACGTATTTAACATCAGCATATCCCTGTGGCTTCCAGTCTTGTTAAAAGCGGCGGAATGTTTGCAACGGAGGTATTTTTTCTACAGCCCGCCTCCTTCAATGCAAATACAATACATGTAATTAGAGCACACTACAATAGTGTATCACCACGGCAAAAAAAAAGAAATAATTTTCTTTGAGTATTAGGTAGCCTAGATTCAGCTGAAGTTGTAATCACTTCTTTTTCTCACGAACAATACTGTCCCCAAAACATCAAAACATTATAATACCAATATTCTTTTTTAATGTACCTCTTCCTCTAAAATAAGGCAAACGGACAAACACACTCACATAAAGGTCAAATAAATAAATAAATAAATAAATAAATAAATAAATAAATAAATAAATAAATAAAATGATTGCCGATGAAAACACCACCTCCACTATAAAACACTTAATAAACTATGAAACATTTCTGTTATATTAAAGAATAACAACGCCATGGATAAATGATAACTAACATTTTCTTCACATTTTATTCGCGTTTATAAAGATTCCCCAAGTCGCAAGACGCTAATCATCGTGTTCTTCTGTTGTGTGACCGATTCTTTGGAGGCTCATTAATCCCAAACAAAAATCTTCTACATGCTTTCTGAGCTATCACTGGGTTCCACCCATCAGTAACAATGAGCAAAACCATGCAACAATCAGCAATGCTAAGTAAATCATGCTGCAATTTATATTAATATTTTACATTCCTCTGTACTCTATCTCAGGGTGACAGTTGCCCACAGATTATGATGAATACGCGTGCAACATAAGCTCCTGTCCAATGCGAGAAGCACTAAACAAAATCCATCTTTTTATCATTCTTTCTATCGCATTCTGTGTTATTAGTTTTCGTATTACAGGAAAATGTAATAATAACCTCTACATGACGTAAAATTAGTGTAACAAAATAGGTATATCTGTCTTCCATATTTCAAAATGATCTTTATGTTTATAACTTCTGACTCATTTTTTCTTCTTTTTCATCTTCTTTGGCTGACTCTGTCTTGAGCTGAATTTCTGTGTTGCCAACATATCTATAAGAACACGAATGAAAATTCTTTGAAATGCTATGACAAGGGGATCACAATACAAATACTTTTAAACACATAATAGCTAAAAAACATGCAGAAATAAAATGGGAGAGTATAAATTAGAATTCAACTGACTCGTAGTTTAAGAGGCAGCACAGAATAAAAAATTACAAAATATTCATTTTTACAAAAAAAAAAAAGTTAGGGATCAAAAACTGAAATGAGTCAAAAGTGCATTTCAATGGCAAAGACATCAACCAAATGGAAATAATATTAACAAAATATACATTTTCAAAAATCGTAGAAGACCCAGATGGAGCTGAAATGATAAGGGCATGACTTCTTTTCTTATTGAATAGTGCCCTATACTTAAAAAATTCACCAAATTCTCTGAATACATATGATAAATGATTATAATCTTTATAGATATTTGTCCACAAATAATTTAAAAAAAAATAATAATAAAAACAAACTTCCTTCACTGGCACAGGCAATGAAACCATTATAAACATATGCAGTCTAGTCATACTGTAAGTTAGCATACCTTTGGGATCAAATGTGGCCGGTATACGGTCAAACTTCTTATGGTAGTAAGGCAGCATCACGTTGGGGTCAACTGGTATCCACTGGCTATCTTCTCTGTGGTGGTCAGTGGTCAAGTCAGTACACAGGTAAGTATTGTGGAGATTATAGCTGCCCCTGGACGATATGGATAGAAACACATGTAGTGAGGACTCCATGAGCAAAGACCTCTGCCAAGGAAAATGGCAGTCAAATAATTAAAAACACAAATGTACACACACNATCCTCTGCCGTTTTCCGTGCAAATGTGATTTTCGCCAAACATTTTTTTGCTTGTGAGGTGTTAAATGTGAGATTGTACACTGTCAAAAGAACGATATATGCCAGAACTCAACGAGAGTTAGCGAGAGGCGTTCAAGGCATATATAGTTGTAGGGGGCAATGTACAATACATTGACATACATACCAAGAGGAAGTTGTCGTGTTTCATCAAAACTGCCCTATAACCGAATCAAGATTATATCGATCTCTGAATATATTGCGTAGAAACGATCTACTGATTGCCATCATTAGATAGCACACGCGGCAATGTACGACATCACTCACTATACCTTTATATTGTTCCAGAAATCCTCTCTCCTGGCCTTTGACCTTAAAATTCACTAATGGTGGGATAGTGAATGCGTTTGGAAACGTGACCTTGATGACCTTGGTGGGGGTTGAACTCGGGCCGACATTAACAACATCAGTTTGGAAACACACCGGACCTGCGGTACAGAAGGTGATAAATTATTACTGGACGAATTTTTGCATAACGTGCAACACTGTGTAATGCGCGAGTTAAGCAAAGCTGTTACATTGTACAAAACATTTAATTACGTATTACGTGATGAAGGTTCACTATAACACTTACAGTACTTTGAGCATGATGTCTAGGCGTAATTGTTGGAAATAAATAAATAAATTAATTAATTAATAAGCGGGAAGAAGGGATGAATAACAGAATAGAATAGAATAGAATAAATAGATAGATAGATAGATAGATGGATAGATAGTGACTTTGTATGCAGCTTATCGACTGAACTCTCAAAACATTCTCATACATTATAGAATTTTTGGTAACAATTGATACATCAACATCATAATTAAACGCCAATCATTTATGTTGCAAGGATCGACAAACACACGCAAACAAACAAACAAACAAACACACACACACAGTACGAACCTAAGTAAGCCACATATTCCAGCGTTGGTGTTTCCATGCGAGGGTCCAATTTCGACTTGGGGAGATTTGGTGGGTAATTTACGTTCTTTTTAAATACCCTCTTTACCTCCACCTTGAAGCCAGTAGGCGTAACATCGACAATTTTCGTTTCCCACTTGTCCTCGTATGTTTGGTGTCCTTTAACGTGGGCCTGGAGCAAAACCACGAGTCATATTAGTACATGTACTTTTTACATATATAAATTGTTAAACTATTCCAAACTCTTTGTGCAATATCTACTTACAAGCACGTGTCTATCTATTATACCGCGTGTAGAATTTTACACCTCTGACGGGTCAAGGACGTTATGACCCTATTCTGTAAATTTTGCCTGCGTTTTAATCCTAAACACTATTACCATTCACTATTGTGAGACCCCATTTTACTAAAAAAAATCGGTCAAAGTAAACTACAAGATTTGCTTAGTACTTCCCATGGAAATTTTGGTAAGTCCATACTATCAACGATGTCTATACCAAGAGGTAATCTACAATATATCATTACAGAGTCACATTCCAAATGAATTTCTCATGGTTCACTTCCTCATAATATTAAGGAGATGAGCAGAATTACTGTACGAATGGCTGGGACTAGATTTGACTGACGCTACCTGTATGATTGCTGCCATTTCTTCTTACTTTGGTGGACAATAACAAATGATGGCAGGATTATAAATCAATAGAGCACAGTCACTCATGACCACTTATTGGTAGAATAGGGCTAATTTTTCTAGACCCCTCTCTTCATAGTTTACAGAGGGCTGTGTTTCATTTGTTCAATATTATTCATTATATATATACGATAAATTCTTTAACTAACATTTTTTTTACAAAAGAAAGCATAAAAATTCGCACTGAATACGATCCCTACATTACCTGTACAAAAGGTTTCTCGGTAAAATTCATCGGGAAGTCGACGTCAATGGTCCTGGTGGCGTCGTTGCCCATGGGAGACCCCAAGGCCACGGCAGCCCGTATGCCTCTCTTGCAGGTCTTGGACTTAGGAATGATATTAAGCACGTTTTTTGTTTCTCCTGTCTTCCAGAAACTGTTGTCTAAGAAAGAGAGAGTGCAAAACACGCAATGAGCTGCAGAATTGCATACGCCTCACCTACGACAGTTTTTTTTTCTATTGCACAAAATGATTTATTAGAGTTAAGAAATAAATGATACAAAGCACCACTAAAAACTACTACTGTCACACACGTACACACATTTATAAAACCACATTGCAAAAATATACTACACCATTGCAATGCGTATAGGCACATTACAACCATATTTTCATATAAATAAGCGAATCGTCTCCTCAAATATGACTACATGATTATTATTGTGTTGTCATGTCTCAGTTGGCCTCCCCGAGTTTCAGATAACACTGGAACTCTACATCTCTACTACCTAGTACCAACACGCCTCTACCGTTTACTGGAAACAACAGACAATGCTGAGAGAGAGAGAGAGAGAAAGAGAGAGAGAGAGAGAGAGGAGTTTTCAGTATCGTCTCATAACTCAAAGCAAAGTAAGGAGCGATACTCTAAATCTACCAGCGACAAACTGAGTGATGGCGTCAATTCCATGCTAGTCGCCTAGCTGGACCCCTGTACCGAAAATCAACCTGTGGTCTTGATACGAGGTGAAGACGGATGGCAAAGCTGGAGATAGTATTCTTGCACGATTTCAAGGTTTTTGATTCGCGGTTGACCCACCTTTAACAGCGCAAAACTTTGCTCCCAGTGTGCTCTTAATGGTCGTCAGGGCGTCGAATCCCGCCACTGTAAACACGTGGTCGATCTTTGGTTCGCTCGCAATCTGCGTAATTTGCGGAATCGACACGCCACTACCAATGCCTATGGTAAATATCTGGAAGTGCCATATGTTTCAGACGTTATTCTTTTTTTAAGTATTGATTATGGGGTGTATTCTATTAAATGAGTGCCAAAATTTAAAGAATTTTCCAAAGGCATCTTTTCTATGTCTACATATCATGCAAAGCTGCTTAAATCTCCCAATCCAGACCTTAAAAAACTATACTCCCCCCTAAAAAAAGGAAAGAAAGAAGAATTACTGATGTCGATAGTACCTTCTGAAATATACAGGAAGAAATGTATTCTTAATGACTGACCAGCCATTTGGAACTATATCATTGAATGAAAAACTGAATACATCGAATCCAAGGGGGGGGGGGGGGGGGGGGGGGG